ACTGGTGGAGGGATGGGTACCCGATCATTGTATAACTGAAACCCAAGCACCAAAATTTGTAAGTCTACAACTGTACCTCATGGTGTTTCACTAATAAAAATTTAAAAATTCACAATCACAAATCACAAATCATCCTGTTATTCGTCGATTGCCTCGAGCAGGCCCCAGTAACGTCTCCTTCATCCTAACCCTGAGATTATATTCAAAGCTCTTTAGGAGAATGAGACCCATCATTGTTACTGGTATTTGGCATATTGGGTACGCCACGGGGAGTTTGCCAGACTCTGCCGTGTGGGCAGGCTACATTCGGTAGCCTGCCAGTTTGTCAAAGTAGGAATGAGATAATAAGATGTCATAATAAGATGTCGCGAATGCGGCCGCGCAGTTCCAGGAGTTGGATTTTATAGTCTCTGAGTCTTGGCCGTTGATGGGATTACACGGCACCAGGGGGCCAGGTGGTGGGTGTGACCCCCGCCTACTGGAATTTGGAGGATCTGGGTGGAGGATGCTCGGCCCCAATCCGAGTAGGCTTGGAGATCTCGGCCCCGGAACCCGCGTGACTTTGTCCCTCTGCCAGTGCCTTCATGTGTGCAGAGAGTGGTCTCAGCATGGTGGTGGCTGGTCCTGGAGGTCTTTGGCTGCCGGAGCCCTGGTCGGGGCGGGGAGGAAAGCTCAACCCGCTCCCCTCCAAGGGGCCCTGGCGAGGACAGCCAGGCGAGGGGGCAGGAGACTGCACTGTTCTCTTCCGGGAGCTGGTTCTTACAGTCTCTGAGTCTTGGCCGTTGATGGGATTACACGGCGCCAGGGGGCCAGTTGGTGGGTGTGACCCCCTCCTACTGGAATTTGGAGGATCTGGGTGGAGGATTATTTAAATAAAAATTTAAAAATAAAAAAAAATAAATAAATAGGATACAAAGGATAAGAAAATGAGATTATATTGCCCAATGATACCAATAAAGATTGTTTTATAAAAAAAATTACTTCTGGTGGGTGCTCAGAAGCACTATATAGGATGCCAGGGATTGAACCCACGTTGGCTGTGCGCAAGGCAAGTGCCAACCTGCTGGTGTACTCTTGCTCCAGCACCCTTGTGTTTTTTTTTTATAGGGACCTGGGATAGAATTCAGCACCTTACTCACTGTACTATCTCCAGCCCCCCAATCTTCCCATTTTAGAGAGAATGGAGACACAATCTAGGTTCAGGAATGGCAAACAATCTGTATTGCTGGAAAATGCTCTCCGGTTGGTTTTGTGTTTTGTGCTGAATGTGAATGACATTGGGCAGAGAAACATCTTCTCATTCACTATAAGCCCCACTGGGTCCCCCTTATTTCCTATTACACCCATACCCCTTGAAGGTCATTGAATCCTTTAAGAATGTCCTTTTGGGGGGCTGGAGCAATAGCATAGAGGGTAGGGCATTTGCCTTGCACGCGGCCAACCCGGGTTCGATTCCCAGCATCCCATATGGTCCCCTGAGCATCGCCAGGGGTAATTCCTGAGTGCAGAGCCAGGAGTAACCCCTGTGCAATGCCGGGTGTGACCCAAAAAGCAAAAAAAATTGTGTCGTTTTGGAGGCTGAAGCAATAGCACAGCAGGTAGGATGTTTGCCTTGCACGTGGCCGACCCAGGTTTGATTCCCAGCATCCCATATGGTCCAGGAGTAATTCCTGAATGCTTGAACCAGGAGGAACCCCTGAGCATCACTGGGTGTGACCTCTCCCCCCCAAAAAAAGAAAAAAAAGAATGTCCTTTTGGGGTCCAGAGAGATAGTACAGGGACTAAGGTGTTTGCCTTATATTCTCCTGAACCGAGTTCAAATCCCGGGTCCTCTGGGGGCACCAGCAGGAGACCCAGGAGTAGCCTCTGTGCACTGGAGGGCTTGACCCAAAATGGAAAATCAAGAAAAAAAAAAGAATATTCTCCTGGTTCTAAAAACCCAATGGCCATCAAAAATGTTTAGGTTTACCCAAAGTTACACAAGGTGAATCAGGATAGTTTAAAATCATTGGAAGGGGCTGGAGCATTAGTACAGCAGGGACGGCGTTTGCCTTGCACACAGTCAACCTGGATTCGATCCCCAGCATCCCATATGGTCCCCCAAGCAGCACCAGGAGTCATTCCTGAGTGCAGAGTCAGAAGTAACCCCTGAGTATCACTGGATGTGACCCAAAAAGCAAAACAAAACAAAACATAAAATCATTGGTAGGGGCCAGAGTGATAGTACAGCAGGGACGGTGTTTGCCGTGCAAGCGTCAATCTGGGTTCGATCCCCGGCATCACATATGGTCCCCCAAGCACCACCAGGAGTAATTCCTGAGTGCAGAGCCAGGAATAACCCCTGAGCATTGCTGGGTGTTATTCCCAAAAAGCCAAAAAAAAAAAATAGAGATTGGTATTTCGAAGGAACATTTTTTTGGGGAGAGCACACCTGAAAGTGCTCAGGGGTCACTCCAGGACTATTTGCAGTACTACAGATTAAACTCAGGTCTCTCCTCTACAGGTCCTTTAGTTGTTTCTCTGGTTCTCCTTCTCTACCTTCCTTCCTTTTTTCCAGCTCTCTCTCTCTCTGTGACTTTTTCTTCTTCTCCTTCCCTCCAGAATGAAGGGGAAGGTCAGTCACCCAAATGTCCTGTTGCCCAGCTTCCTCTTCTTGTTGGGACATCTCTTTGGAGCCCCGTGGAAAGATCTCCATGGTAGAGCACTTGCTTGGCACATGTGAGGCTCTGAGTTCAACTGCCAGCACCGCCCAAAAAAGAGGGGGATGGGGGGGCGGGGAGCGAGAGGCCCAAGTAAAGCAAAACTGGAAGGGAGCTTAGGAGGAACATCCTGGAAGACCCGGTGGGTGTGGTTGCACCCGCCTAAGGGTACTCTGCAGAGCATGGGACTCGCCCCTTCACAGGTAATGATCCCCCCTGGGATCCGGTGGAAATCAGGTAAACTCAGAGCCCCTGGGAGCGGCCGGGCCCAGAGGGGCTGCTGCCAAGGACGTGGTTCCTATGGCTGGAGGAGGAGGAAGCCTCTAAGAATACAGCAAACTGTGGAACAGCCCCCAGAGCGGCGACCAGCTGCTCTGGGGACCTGCAGCTTGCGGGGCGTGTGCGGAGGAAGATGACTCACTGGAGCAGGAGCACAGGAATGCTACTCGGAGGAGGCAGCATTTGACAGGGGAGGTAGAGGAGGAGGAGGAAGAGAGTGGAGAGAGGAGCCACGTCTGCGTTGTGTGAACAGGAGCCTGCAGCCTCCGTGTTCCTGGGTGGGGTGGTGCTGAAGCCCACTTCCTCTGTGTTGGTGAAGACGAAGTTAACGGTGGCATGAGGTTCACGGGCAGAGCACTTGCCTTGCAGGTGTGAGGCGTTGGGTACCACATAGGCACATAAAAAGCCCACCTTCAGGAAAGGGGCAGACGTGTTCAAAGCACTCCTGTCCACTCTTCACCCAGATTCACTTTTTAACCTTTCTTCATGTGCATCACATGTACCCTCAGGGACCCATGTGAGAAAAAGTTACAGAAGTTAGGCCCCTAATCATTGCAGCATGTATTTCCTAGGAACTGGCAACCTCTTACATAACCCAGTACTTCCCCAAAACAAGAAGTTTAACACTGGGACAACACAGGGCGGGAGAGATAGTACAGCGGGCAGGGCACTTCCCTCCCCGCAGCTGACCTGGGTTTGATTCCTGACACCCCATGTGGTCCCCTGAGCAGTGCCAGGAGTGATCCCTGAGCACAGAGCCAGGAGTAAATGTTAAGTACTGCTGGGCGTGGCCCCCAAACCAAACCCAAACTTTGAGACAGTACTAGTCAATAGCCAAATATTGCTAATTGTCTCAACATTGCCCCTGATGGTAATTCCCCACCGCCTCCCTTCCCAAGATCCAAATCTAGGACCATACAGGAGCATGCCTTTTTTTTGGTGGGGGGGTGCTCCTTGACTTTTCTTTCACCTGCCATGACACAGCCATTACTGGCAGAACCCAGAGAACTAATACTGTAACGTAGAACCACGTTTTAGATTTGTCTGCTTTCTCCCGATTAGATGATTAGATGATTGCAGTTTGTTGTTTTGTTGCTGGGCCACACCTGGCAGTGCAAGGCAAACACTGAACGGGGCTGCCCTATCTCTCCAGCCCAATCCCAATGTTTTGTTGACTGCACCCATAAGGCTGTTTCCTGGTGCAGCCCGCCGCGAGGCGCGCCCTGGCTGTCGGTGTCCCTGTTACTGACATTCACGTGGACAGCTGGTTTTACTAGTCTGCCTAACTAACTCACTTCTTAAAATTTTTTTTACCTTTTTCTTTTTTTTTTTTTGCTTTTTGGGTCACACCTGGCGATGCACAGGGGTTACCCCTGGCTCTGCACTCAGGAGTTACTCCTGGCGGTGCTCAGGGGACCATATGGGACGCTGGGAATCGAACCCGGGTCGGCCGCGTGCAAGGCACACACTCTACCCGCTGTGCTATCTCTCCAGCCCACTTCTTAAAAATTTAACCATCCTTCGTGGCTACGTGTGTGAAAAGATTCGAATGTCTTTCCATCAACCTCATGGAACAAAACGGCGAAGCGATTTTCCGGGAAATAGCGTTTCTGGCCAGGGAAGAGGTGCGGCGAGCACCTTCAGCAGAGACAGCCTTCCTTTGCCAATAAAGTTATTGCCAGACAAACCTTCCGGAAAGGCGGAGCCGGCCGGGTCGCAAGGCATGCTGGGAATTGTAGTCTCCCGCCGCGCCGTGCTCGGCCAAGAAAGCGCCTGAAGCCCCAGGCAGAGGGCGGAGCGAGCGAATGGCGGCTGCCGGGCGCGGTGCATTGTGGGGCTGGTAGTTCCGGGGGGCCGCCGCGGCCGGGCCCGCCGGGCCGCTCGCCCGGGGAGCTGGACTACCATTCCCGACAGGCCACGCGCTCGGGGCCCGGGGCGGCCGGCCCGGGGACTGGAACAAATCAAATCGAAGGAAAGAAACTGCCGGCTTTCAAAATCCTCCTCCTCCGCCATCATCCGCCGCCGGCAGGAGAGCAGGTGGTGACGGCGACGCAAGGGGCCCAGCCGCCGCCGCCGCTGCCGCCAGAGCGGACCGACGGGCCGGCGGGATCCCGGCACCGCGGGGCTCGGAGGTCGCGACCCCGACCCCGTCTGACCCCGCACCCTCCATCCGATCGCGCGCGCGCTCGGGTCGCCCCACGCGGCGGCGCCGCCTGTTCACGGTAGGGTCCGGGGGTCCCTCCCGTAAGCTTTCCCCGTCACCGGCCGGGGGGCGGGGGGCGGCGGGCCTAGCTCGGCACCGGCGGGGGCTTCGCGCGGGGGGCGCCGGGGACACCCCGCGGCCTCTCCTCCGCCGCCCCAGCCGGGGTGGGGGAGGGGCCGGTCCTCCCCCCCCGCCCCCCGCGGGGAAACTGAGGCGTAGGGCGGCGTCCGCCCGCGGCGGCGTCGCTCCTCCGCGTCCGTGTCCCCCGGGAGGCGCCGCGGCTCCTCCCGCGCTGCCGCCTGTCATTTGCCGCCGCCGCTCGCGGGGTGGCGGGAGACGCTGCGGGCGGCGTCGCGGGGGCCCCACCCCGGGCTCGCAGCTGCGGCGGGACGGGACGGAGGGGTGCGGGGGTGCCGGGTCGACCCCCGCGGGGCTCCCGCTCGTGCCCCCTTCGTCTTGCCGGGTGTCGGGGTAAGGCGTCACCCCCCTCCCGGTGCCCGCGGAGGACGCGCTGCCCGCCCTCCCGCCAGCCTCCGCTTGCCCCCTTCCGGAATTGCCAGGGTTTCGGGCTAGTTTGTATGATTTCACCCAGCACCCACCCACCCCCATCCTAGTTTTTGGGCTTTTTTTTAATTTTTTTTTTTAGGTGGGGTTGTTCAGGCTCCTCCTGGTGCTGGGGAGACCGGCAGGATTCCCAGGTGGTGCGAGAATTGAACCCAGGATCAAGGCGTGCAGGGCAGGCTGGTCCTCCTCTGCATCCCAGACCCCCCCAAGCCCCCCCAGTGCAGTTGATCTCTGCATCCTCTCAAAGCACATGGCAGCTTCGGAACTGCCCTGGGCACGGCTGAGTAATGCCAACATTCTTCAAACGGCCTCAGGACTCCACCCCATTGCTTTTTTTTTTTTTTTTTTTTTTGCTTTTTGGGTCACACCCGGCCATGCTCAGGGATTATTCCTGGCTCTGCACTCAGGGATCACTCCTGACAGTGCTTGGGAGACCCTATGGGATGCTGGGAATCGAACCCGGATTGACCGCGTGCAAGGCAAATGCCCTTCTCGCTGCTGTGCTATCGCTGGGGCCCCTGGATCACTTTGCAGTGGAACTCTCCACGGCCACCCCCACGCCCCATGCTCCAAACTTGTTTTCCTTCCTCACCCTCTCTGACCCTTCTGCATTAAATTGCCCCTGCCCCCGGCCTGTTGGCTCTTTATAGCGCTGCCTGGGGTCCTTGACCGTGGTGCTTGGGACACACCGGGCAGAATTCTTGCTTCGTGCCTGGTCTGCTCCTGCTGCCTAGATGGGGTGCGGTGCTGGTGGGATTAGTGAGCGGATGTCTCCTTGTTCGGGGACGGACTGGTGGTCATCGATCGAGAGAAGCGGGCAAACCAGTCCAGGTCAGGGAAGTGTTGAGACTGTTGGTGCCCAGAGGAAGCCCGGAGCGGTGGCAGGCCTGGGGGTGACCGCCCAGCTGGCGGCTTCTGGCTTGAAGGTACCCTAGCGTCGCGCTCCGTGGCATCCTTCCTTGGTTCCCCGAGAACCTGCTGTTTGGCCTCGGGAACGGAGTGGACCTGCCGGCTGCCTGCCGAGCTCCAGGCCAGAGCTGTCCCTGTCCATTGTGATGGCGGCTGCTGTGATGTAGGGACCTCGGTCACCTAGAAACCCCTAAGGCCGCACCACCATGGGCTGCCCAGTCTCCCGGCCAGAGTTCAAAGACGTGCAGCGGGCAACCCCCCGGACCCCACCCCCAGAGTCATGCCAGCCTGGGCGGTGGGGTGGCCCCTGGGATGGAAGTCCTGAGTCCCGGCACCGCCGCTGTCCTGTGTGAGGAATGGGGCCCTCAGGCGGAGAGCAGCCGAGGTCAGCAGGCAGCCGTGGGGTGAGGGGGGCAGGAGACGGCTGCCCCGAGCTGGGCCGAGGACTGCTGTGACAGTGACTCCTCAGACGTGCCAACGGGTTTCCTGCCTTGCTGCCTCCTTCAGCTTTTGGAACTGCCCTTCCCTATTGCTGTTTTTATTTCTTCCGGTGGTTAAGAGCCCAGGGACCTGAGGAAATGCATCTTCGCTCTGCAGCACACCCTGAGTCAGCCCCTGCTCGTGCACACGGCCTGCGCTCCCGGCCCCTCCTCGGTTGCTGCAGTTTCCGTGTCAGCCGAGGCGCAAACGCTTCTGCGCTCACCGCGTGCTGGCCGGGGGTTACGCTCCTGGGTTCGGCGCTCACACATCTTTCCAGCTGCAGTGCTCACATCATGCCGGGGATCAGACGTTGTCACCCCGGAAGCCCCGTTCAGGCACTGTGAACGGTGCTTCACCTGTGCAGGCAGTGCCTTCGCCCGTTTTGTGGTGGTTTTATTTCCTTTTTGAGCCGCACCTGCTCGTGTTCGGGCTTCCTGTGGCAGCACCAGATTGAACCTGGCTGGGCCGTGCTCAAGGCACTCGCCCAGCCCTCTGTACCATCTCTCTGGCCCCACTCTCCTTTTTTGATGTTTTGTTTGGGGCCACAACTGGCGGTGTTCGGGCTTACCCCTGGCTCTGTGCTCTGGGATCAGTCCTGAGGGGGTCAGAAAATCCCCTGACCTTGTACGCGGTCAACCCGGGTTCAAGTCCCAGCATCCCATAGGGTCTCCCGAGCACTGTCAGGAGTGATCCCTGAGTGCAGAGCCAGGAATAATTCCCGAGCATCGCTGGGTGTGACCCAAAAAGCAAAAAAAAAAAAGGGAGGGGTGTCGGGAATCAAACCCCGCCGGCTGCATGCAAGGCAAGCACCCCTCGCTGTCCTGTCTCTCCAGCCCCCTTATTATTATTTTTCTTTATTTTTCTTTTTCTGGTTTTTTGTGTGTGTGTGTGTGGCCACACCCAGCGATGCACAGAGGTTACCCCTGGCTCTGCACTCCAGAATGACTCCTGGTGGTGCTCAGAGGACCATATGGGATGTCAGGGATTGAACCCGGGTCAGCTGTGTGAAAGGCAAATGCCCTCCCCACTGTACTATTGCTCTGGTCCTCTTTTTTTTTTTGGCCACACCTGGCAGCACTCAGAGGTTACTCCTGGCTCTGTTCTCCTCTCAGTGCTCGAACCCCCCCCACCTTATTTTTTTCATGCTATTAAATTTTGTTTTTCTTGTTTTGGGACCACACCCAGCAACGCTTAGAGATTACTCCTGGCTCTGCACTCAGAAGTTACTCCTGGCATTGCTCGAGGGACCATATGGGAAGCCAGGGACTCAAACCCGGGTCAGCTGTGTGCAAGGCAAATGCCCTCCCCACTGTCCTATCGCTCCGTCCCCTCTGAATGAAATTTTGGCTTCCACAGTTTGCAGATCTCCGGGGGAACCTGCCAGCGTGATCATCATGGCCTCTGAAGACATCGCCAAGCTGGCCGAGACACTGGCCAAGACGCAGGTGGCCGGCGGACAGCTCAGTTTCAAGGGCAAGAGCCTCAAACTCAACACTGCGGAAGATGGTGAGTGTGTGCCCAGGCCGGGCCGGGCATCTTGGGCCAGTCTCTGTCTCCCGTGGGCATCCCTGCTGCTGACAACACGGGCCAGAGGGGTCAGTTTTCCGTGAGGGGCCACCGAGTGGCTGTCCCAGGGCAGAGGCTCTGGGCGTTGTTTGGTTTTGTTTTAAACTTGGGACTCGGTCCCCTGGAAGCAAGCACCTCACTGCCCCGCCTCGCTCTCCAGCCCACCTTCTTTATTCTGTTGGTTCATTTGGGGGCCACACCAAATGCTGGGGGACCTTAGTATCCTCGGGCTGGCGCTCGGGCCTCCCACAGGCAGAGCCGGCCAGCAGCCATTTGAGTTTTCTGCGGCCCAGGACTCCTGCTGCATGGCATCAGCTCCTGCCCTGCTGTCAGTGCCCGGCTCCCAGGCTGCTCTGAGCGCCCTTGGCGCCTTCCCTAGCCGCGCCTGCGGGGCACAGAGCACCTCGCATTCGGCGACCACGTTTGACCTCCCCAGCATCCCATATGGTCCCATGAATACCAGCTGGAGTGATTCCTGAGCGCAGAGCCAGGAGTCAGCCCTGAGCATTGCCAGGTGTGATCCAGAAAGCCAGAGAAAAGAAACAGCTGTGTTTTTTTTTTTTTTCCTTTTGGGTCACACCCAGCGATGCACAGGGGTTACTCCTGGCTCTGCACTCAGGAGTTACTCCTGGCGGTGCTCATGGGGACTATATGGGATTCTGGGAATTGAACCTGGGTTGGCCGCGTGCAAGGCAAACGCCCTACCTGCTGTGCTATCACTCCAGCCCCCAGAAACAGCTGTGTTGGCATCCAGTGCCTTGGAGGGAGCCGCTCCTGGCCCCTGGCATGTGCCAGCTCTGGGGCAGGAGGGACTCGGACCCGAGCTTCCTAGTCCTGGCCAGGGTGCAGCGGCACTGACCAGCCCTGACCACTGGCACCTACTTGTCAGGGCTCTGAGGGTTGAACACAGTTGGAGTGGCTGGCCCTGACTTGCAGGGTTGCCGCGGTGCGGGCCAGCTGGCTGGCCGCCTGTCAGGCGTGGCGCTATGCATTCCTCACCTCCAGGCCCACAGTGTCAGCTCCTCCCTGTGTGTGTCACCTCCTTTCCTTGCCTCATGGAAGGAGGGCTGGGGAGGGAGAGGTGAGGGTTGTTGGTTTGCATGTCTGTGTACTAGGGGTTTACACCTGGGGCCTCACCGCTTCCAGGCAGGAGCTCTTGGTTTGAGCCACATTTCCTGGCCCGCTGCTGTTTTGTAAATAGGGGAAAGAACTTGGGACTCTTGTCGAAGGTCAGATAAACAGTAAATCAGCTGGGATCTTCACAGAGCTGCTGAATCTTTGTTTTGCGTGTGTGTGTGTGTGTGTGTGTGTGTGTGTGTGTGTGTGTGTGTGCGCACGCGTGCACACGCATCTGGGGTAGGGGTTGGGGAGGGGTGTTGGGCCTTTCCTGGTGCTGCTCAGGGCTGATTCCTGGCTCTGCTCAGGGTCATTCCTGGCTGGGCTTGGAACCAATGGGGTGCTAGAGTTAAACCTGTGTTGAGTCCAGGAGCGATAACACAGCAGGTAGGGCGTTTGTCTTGCAGGCAGCCAACCCAGGTTCTATCCCCGTGGCATTCCATATGTTCCCCCAAACACCGCCAGGAGTGATTCCTGAGGACAGCCAGGAGTAACCCTCTGAGTGTCGCAGGGTGTGACCCAAAAGAACCAACCTGGCTTGGTCACGTGCAGGTCAAGTGCCCCGTGGCTGTACTGTCTCTTGGCCCCAGGTTTGTTCAGCCGTAGTAGCCAGTTGGTTTCTCCCCACAAAAGCCCTTGAGGTGGATTTCACCCCAACTTCGCAGGCTCTCGGGACACAACGATAAGCAGAAGCTCTGGGATCAGAACCCAGTTTGGCCACCTCTAAAATCAGGTGCCGCATCCCAGGACAACACACTGCCCCGCCTTAGAGGCAGCTGAGGTGTCCGGCCGGGGACAGGAAGGCGGGTCTCTGAGGGCCCAGGAAGTCTCCGTGCGGGTTGAGGGACGGGCTTTGGGGAGAGGGAAGTTCCCATGAGTTCACCGCAGTTGAAACCCCCTCCGGGAGAGGGGCGGGGCACATATTTATTTAGAACAAGTCCCCTTTCTCTCCAAAATACTCAAGTGACCCAGAGTTGGACTTTTTCGGCACTGAAAAGGGGGTGCCCGGCTGTCAGCGCAGGGCCGAGGGGGCCCTACCCTGTGTTCTGTCCCCTTCCCTCTCCTGCTTCTCTTGTCGGCATGACCAGGAGTCACACACACATGGCTGTGCTCCCCACAGCTGCACATGTGGTCGTGGTGCCCAGGCATGTACTTGGCAGGGGTTGATGGTGGTGCTCACAGGCGCTCCTGAGGGGGCCACTCCTGACCACAGTGCTCGAACAGGGAGCCCCTGAGCACTGCCCCTCCACACCAACAAAACAAAACAAAGCAGAATCCTTCTTTGTGGCCTGTTAGATCTAGACATTGCTGCAGATCGGCAGAGAGAAGGTCGCCGTGATACTGTGTGTGTGTGTGTGTAAAGTGGGCCTGAGAGCCAGCCTGATGACCTGAGCATGGGCCTTGCATGCGGACCCCCAGTTCCAGTCCTGGGGTCGCATGGTCCCTGAGCACCTCCAGGAATGACCCAGGAGCAGTAGAGTAGCCAGATGACAGATCGGGTTGGTGAGCTCCTGTTTGACCTGTGACGTTTCCAACCCCAGCACACCTGTGCCATCCTGCCTGACAGCCGTGGCACTGTCCGTCACCCCTGCGCGCTCAGGTCTTGGAACTGTCACATCCCATGGCCCCGCTTGGCCTGGTGCCTTCCTGGGAGTGTCCGTATATCCCACCCACAGTCAGCCCCTTCCTCTGGCCCCGTAGCTTCTCCTGCATGCCTTCGCGCGACCCCCGCTGCCGAGGGCCTGCCCCGTGCCACGGGGGAGACCTCACCGCAGCCACGAGACAGGCGGTGACCGTCCTCTCCCAGCAATTGGTCAGCTCACTTGTCCTTTGGTCCCGACAGCCAAAGAGGTGATTAAGGAAATCGAAGACTTCGAGGGCTTGGAGGCGCTGCGTCTGGAGGGCAACACGGTGGGCGTGGAAGCGGCCAAGGTCATTGCCAAGGCCTTGGAGAAGAAGTCAGAGCTGAAGGTAAGACCTGCCCGAGCTGCCGTGTACACCGGTGACCCACGGGGGCCCCCACGGTGTCTGACTCTCCCGTCCCTCCACAGCGCTGCCACTGGAGCGATATGTTCACGGGGAGGCTGCGCTCCGAGATCCCGCCGGCTCTGGTAAGGGAAGGGCCCACCCCGCTCCTCAACCCCGATCCCCCAGAGGGGGGAACCAGGATGCTGAGCCGGAAGCCAGCACACGGCATCAGCGCTGTGTCCCGAGAAGGGGAACAGAGGGTGACTGGGGCAGAGCCGAGACAAGGAGTCCAGGTTTCTTCCTGAGCACAGAGCCGGGAGTGACCCCTGAGCACCTCCGGGTGAACCACCCTTTGCTCCCTAGGGCCTGCCGCAGGAGCCCAGCTGCCTCGACCTCCCTTTGATCCTGCTGCTCCGGGGTTGGCTCGCATCATGGCCCGCTTCTCTGTCTCTTCCGTCTCCCCCTTCTCTCTCTCTCTCTCTCTCTCTCTCTCTCTCTCTCTCTCTCGTGTGTGTGTGTGTGTACGGCTCACTTCTCCCTGTCTCCCTGTCACAATTCCCTAGCATTTGACTCTCTCCCATCCTGTGTGTGTGTGTGTGTGTGTCTCTGCCTGTCTGTCTGTCTTGTCTGTCTGTCTGTCTCATGGCTCGCCTCTCCCTGTCTCCTCCATTTCCCAAGCTTTTGGCTCTCTCCAAGCATGTATGTGTGTGTGTGTGTGTGTGTGTGTGCGCATGTGCGCTTCTGTCTCTTCCGATTCAGTCTCCCAGCCTGTGTGTGCATGTATGTGCGTGTGGGAGGGACAGGAAGGGGCCTCCTCCCCAGAACCTGGCATGCCAAGGGCCCAGCAGGCTGCAGGAAGGCAGGCATCTTCTCGGTGTACCCCCGACATGGGGTCCCCCTGGGTGAGGTTTTCTGTCAGGGCGCGCCAGCTGTGCTGGGGCTGCTCCCCAAGTCTCTTTTCTCTCCCGACTGGGGCTGCTGAGAGCGCTGTGCGTTGGCCTCAGCCCGGCGACTAACAGCCACCTTGGGGGTGACGGGTGCCTTCAGCGGGGCTGGAGGCTCTTCATGGGTAGTTGATCCTCAACCAGATGGAGCTCCGATGCCCCCTCTTACAAGAAGCCTTCCCGGCCCGGGTGCGGGAAGCGCCTTTGGCTGGGAGTTCTGACCTGGGCTCCTGATGGTGCCGGGCGGTGTCTGGGCGCCTGACGGGTGCTTCCTCTCTCTGTGCCCAGATCTCGCTCGGGGAGGGCCTCATCACGGCCGGGGCCCAGCTGGTGGAGCTGGACCTCAGCGACAACGCGTTTGGGCCCGACGGCGTGCGCGGCTTCGAGGCGCTGCTCAGGAGTCCCGCCTGCTTCACCCTGCACGAACTCAAGCTCAACAACTGCGGCATGGGCATCGGCGGCGGCAAGGTGGGTGCGGCATCCCAGCGCCCCCACCCTTCCTGCCGGGGTCACCCATTGTTCCCCTCTGCGCCGGAGAAAGGCCCCGATGGGTTTGCCAGGCGCCCCCTCCCAGATCTGGGGTTGCCTTGACAACACGGCTCCGTGGCCTCCTGCTCCGGCCTGCTGGCGCTGCAGAGCGTCAGGCTGGGGCCTTCCCCCCGCGCGGCGTGTGGGATGGTCCCTTGAGCTCCACCAGCAGTGTTCCCGGAGCACAGAGCCAGGAGCACTGCCGGGAAGTTAGCCACCGGGGGACGAGCGGTCGCTTTGGTTTTCGTTGCTGCACTGGTGCTGGCCCCTGCATTTGTGCTGGGATGTGCTTCTCTGGTTTTTGTTGCGGTTTCGGGGCTACCCCCGGTGACGCTCAGGGCTGACGCCTGGTTCTGGGCTGAGGGTCACTCCTGGTGAGGCTCAGGGAACCGGATGTGGTGCCAGAGGGTCAAACCCGAGTCAGCTTGTGCAAGGCCAGTGCCCTTCTGCTGTCCTGTCTGCTTCGACCCGAAGCTTCTCCGGAAGATGTGTCGTACTCTGACGCTCCCCAGTGGGTCACACGCCCCTGCAGTTCTTGGCCCTGGGCCCTGTGGTGCTGGAACTTTCAGGGTCCCCCCTGTGGTGCTGGGGGAGCCACAGCTGGTGGGACCAGGCCAGTAGGGTCACCCTGGTAGTGTGGGCTCTTGGGCCAGTGTCCCTGCCGGGCTCGGGTGTGCCAACCCTGTGCTGTCCCCCAGCCGCTTTCCCCGGACTCAGACCTCTGGGGTCAAGAGCCACAACAGGTGGGCTGGTGGGGGGGGGATCACCAAAAGGGCTGGCGAGCTTTGTGTGCAAGTCCCGTGTGGCATGAGCACTGCTGGGGGAGCCCCTGAGCATCTCCAGTTGTGACCCCGGAACCAGCCAAGAGAGGCCCAGATGGGGGACGGGGCCGGGCTAAGGAGCTGTAGCGCCTTCCTGCCCCCACTCACCGGGCACTAGTCATTAGTGGTCCACACGAGTGTGCATCAGAGTGGAGCAGGGGTTGCCGGGGGCCTTGGGTGGCCTTGCTGGATGCCCGGTCCTCACGCCCAGCACGAGGGGTGGCTCCCTCTGCTGCTTCTGGACCCCTTATCCCTGGTTCTGGGAGTGGGGGTGCTCACTGTCGGAGCAGAGATGAGCTTGGGGCCCTGGCCTTCCTCGGACGAGCTCCACTCTGGGCTGATGCCTGCTGGGTCGAAGCAAGATCTGGGTCCCGTGGTGCTGTGCTGGGTGCCTTCAGGTGGTGGCATGTGTCTGCGGCCTGCCCGGGCATCACCTCCATGATCTGGGTCTGGATGGTGCTGGCCATCACTGGCCCACTGGCTTTGACCATGTCCCATTCCCCGGCTGGGCTTGGCTTTCCTATGGGTCGCGCTGGACTTGGGTTTGAGCGAGGTGCCGGGGTGCACCTCTACCGTGCTCACCCGTGGGGCTCATCCCCGTTTCCCACCAGCCACGCCAGCCACATCCGGGCAGGTCTGAGCAGTCGCACACTTGGCCTCAGAGGGGCCGCCTGGCCCTCCTGGAGGCTGGGACTGGGATTCAGCAACTGGGACCCGCTCTGGGGGTGCCGGGGAGCACTGGGAGGGTGGCCCGGAGGCCGCCCCTTCTCGGCAGTCACAGAACCCCTGGGCCCGTGGCTCTGCCTGCGGGGGCTTCTGACTGGGAAGGGAGGGGGCCACCCCCACCCCACCCCCGGACCCCGCTTCTCTGGCTCGGGTTGTGCAGCCGGGGCCCGTTGCTGAGACATCCCTTGAATGGCGCACGTTGACTTTGGGGTGTCTGTGTGCCCTGACCCTGTGCCCGCGGGTGGCATGGACTGAGACCAGGGCTTCTCCTTCCTCCCAGATCCTGGCTGCAGCCCTGACTGACTGTTACCGGAAATCCAGCGCCCAAGGCAAGCCCCTGGCCCTGAAGGTCTTCGTGGCGGGCAGAAACCGTCTGGAGAACGACGGAGCCACTGCGTTGGCGGAAGCTTTTGGGGTGAGTGGCCGCACCGTGAGCTGCAGTCCTGGACGTGTGGCAGCTCTGGGCTCACGTGCCAGGCCCAGCCGCTGGTCTGTCCTCGGGCTGAGCAGACACCTCTCCTGGCCACTGAAGACTGCCAGGGCGGAGCTGGACAGCGTGTGCCAGGCTCGGGGGGAAGGTGGTATCCCCATCCTGTCACAGAGTCCTCGGCTCGGACGCCATGCCTCTAGCCTGGCCGGGCACACAGAGATGGGAGTCCTCAGACTGGCCTGAGAGACAGGCAGGCCTGAGCTATCACCATGAGAGACTCTGCCCGTGGGACTAGCACCCTGGGGTTAGGACACCCCCCCCACTTACCTGACAGCACACCTGCTGTCACTGAGGGGGGACCCGGCCTTCTGTCTGCCCCGCGGACCCCCAGCAGCACTGGCCACTCCCTCCGGAGTGGACGGGGCCTAGCTAGGAGGAAAAGAACAGGGTCAGTGCAGGCAGCGGGTGCGTGAGACACAGCCAAGCGTTCGGGAAGTCCCTGCTGGGTCCTGAGGAAGCGCTGGCGGTGAGGGTCGCCGCTGGCCCGCACCAGCTTTAGAAATCCCTGCAGTGTGGACACCAGCAACAGTCACGGGTGTTTTCCTATCCGGTTGCTAGGTGTGGGGCAGGGGCGGTCACGCCTGGCAATGTCCTGGGGTTACTCCTGGCAGTGCTCAGGGGACCATCTGGGGTGCTGGGGATCTGCCCCAGGCTGGCCCTGAGCACCGCCAGGAGTAATTTCTGAGTGCAGAGCCAGGAGGAACCCCTGTGCATCGCCGGGTGTGACCCAAAAAGCAAAAAATAAAATAGAAAAAAACCCAGAAACTGTGATTCAGAGGAGGGAGCCAGGGGCTCTACCTGAGGAAAAAAGAGGTGGTTAGGGAAGGCCTCTCCTCCCCTCCCACCCCCAAGGGAGTGGTCGGGGGAGGGGAGGCTCCCGCCCTTGTGTTCAGAGAGGGCCGCGGAGCATGGCGCCATGGGGCTGGGTGGGCCCACCTGCAAGCCCCTCGCCCCTGAGCTTCTGCCCGCGCCCTCCACCCTGCCCCGCAGATCATCGGGACCCTGGAGGAGGTCCACATGCCCCAGAACGGGATCAACCACCCGGGGGTCACTGCGCTGGCCCAGGCCTTCGCCATTAACCCTCTGCTGCGGGTCATCAACCTGAACGACAACACCTTCACCGAGAAGGGTGCGGGGGCCATGGCCAAGGTGAGGCTGGGGGCTGCAGAGTGGGGGGGTAGGGAGGGGGTTGCAGAGCATTGGGTGGAGCCCAGGGGATACTGGGTGTTGCAGAGCAGGGGCTGGGGGCGAGCCCATAAAACATGTCCAGAAGCCGCTGTGTGGACGCCGCGCTACCGGGCTGTGGGTGTCCCTGCCCTGGGTGCCGGCACAGGAGGCTCAGCCCGTGCTCATGGCTGTCCCTACTCCGTGTAGCACCCAGCCCAGAGATGCTCGGTACTGGGGAGCTCTCGGGAAGTGTGGCCTGAGCGGGTTCCCGGGACAGGCTCACGTCTGCGCCCCAAGAGGGCCCGGCGGCACCTCTGGCCCCGCTGTCTCCTGGGGCCTGGAAGCAGGTGTGGCCGGTCCCCTGGGCTTCAGAGTGGGGGGCAGGGGGAGTTGCCGGCTTGGCCTGTGGCCTCACCCCGGCCCCGCTGCCTCTTCCAGACCCTGAAGACACTGCGGCAGGTGGAGGTGATCAACTTCGGGGACTGCCTGGTGCGCTCCAGGGGCGCCGTGGCCATCGCTGAGGCCGTCCGCGGCGGCCTGCCCAAGCTGAAGGTGCCCGCAGGGCTGGGGATGGGTGGGGGCGGGTCCCGGGCGTGACGCTCGCGGGGTGAGGCCCGATGGGGCTGTGGGCATCCACGCCCTGGACCCCGACTCTGCCCAGCCGCGGGACAACGCCGGCCCGGCCCGCCCGTCAGCCCCCACCGCTCCCTTCCCGGCCTAGGAGCTGAACTTGTCCTTCTGTGAGATCAAGAAGGAGGCGGCGCTGGCCGTGGCCGAGGCCGTGGCGGACAAGGGCGCGCTGGAGAAGCTGGACCTCAACGGTAAGAGCGAGGCGGCTCTGCCCGGCGCTGCCCCCGGCCCCGGGCCCAGCTGACCTCGCGTCGTCCCCGTGAGCAGGCAACATGCTGGGAGAGGAAGGCTGCGAGCGGCTGCAGGAGGTGCTGGAGGGCTGCGGCCTGGGCGCCGTGCTGGCCACCCTCAGGTACGACCCGCCGGGCGGCGCGGCCGGCGGCCAGCAGAGGCGAGAGATGGGGGGATCTGGGGTCAGGGGAGATGGGGAGCAGGGGGTGGGGCGGGGGCGACTGGGACCAATGGTGTCAGGTTTGTTCTTGACTCCGGGTGGCTGTTCTGGGGAGATTGACGCAGGAGGGGGGCAGGCATGCTGTGGCCAGCCCTGTCCCCACTGTCCACTGCTCTCCCTCTGTGCTGGCCTGGGGCTCAGCTTTCTCGGCGGCTGTGGTTGGCGGCAGTCCTGGGCGACAGTGACGCGCGTTATGCCATGTCCCGGGGGGTCCCGTGGGGTCCAGGGGGGCGGCTCCTCTTCTGGCCACTGCCTGGGCTTTCCCGGGGGCTGGGGGGCACTGACGGGCCCCTTGGTGTCCCACCGTGAAAGGGGGCTCCTCCCTGTGCCAAGCTGGGGCCCAAAGGGGAGGGCTAGAGCCTCCCCACCCAAGCAGGAGGGTTCACGTCAATCAACTCCTCTCGGCAGTGACGATGAAGGTGAAGATGATGAGGAGGAAGAGGAGGAGGAAGAAGAGGAGGAAGAGGAAGACGAAGAGGAGGAGGAGGAGGAAGAGGAGGAGGAGGAAGATGATGAGGAAGAGGCACCGCAGCAAAGACAAGGAGAGCAAAAGAGCACGCCCTCCAGGAACATTCTGGACCCCACCGTTGGGGTGAGTGCCCGGCCGTTGGCAGGCCTCCCAGGCTGAGCCATTTCCACGGGGGTGGAAGGTCTGGATCCACACAGGCACCGCGGCGGGCGAGGGGGGGGGGGGAATGCTTGGGACCAGGTCTCAGCCTAGCGTGAGCTGGGGTTCCAGCCCAGGCCACCAGCTGCAGTGCGAGGCTGCCGCTGTGAGAGGACCTTGGCCCGCATGGGTGCACGCCTAGCTGAGGGACACGGGGAAAACGTCCGCGCTCTGCTGCTAAAGGGTCTCGACCCAGGGCCGCCACCGTGCCACCTGCACACAGGACCCGATAAGGGGCCAGAGTGATAGGACAGCTGGCAAGGTACTTGCCTTGCGTATGGCCAACCCGGGTTCAATTCCCAGCATCCCCTATGTTCCCCCAAACTCTGCCAGGAGTAAGCTCTGAGCACTGAGGTGTGGCCCAAAAAAAGAAAAGAAAAAGCATTCAAATAAGGGACCAGAGCGATAGCACAGCGGGGAGGGCTTTTGCCTTGCACGCAGCCAACCCGGGTTCAATCCCCGGCATCCCATATGGTCCCCTGAGCACCGCCAGGAGTGATTCCTGAGTGCAAAGCCAGGAGGAATCCCTGTGCATCGCCAGGTGTGACCCAAAAAGCCAAAAGAAATTTTTCTAGATAAGCATAAATGAGAATTTTTTTGTCTTCATGACCCTGGTGATGTACCAGGACAGCCCCAGGGCTGGGCATGACACATGGGGCCCTCTGGGCACCTTCACTGTGTCCCGGATCGAGCTTCAGGAGAACTGAGGGCAGGCAGGGAGCCTGAGGCAGGCCCGGTGGGGGTGGGGAGAGCTACTTGTGCCCCATTGCTGCCCCCTGCTGGCCACTGGCCATAGCTCCACACTGTGCCCCGCAGGAAGCTGCCCCGGTGCTGGGCTCCCCACCGCCCGCCGACATCTCCGCCTTCTTGGCCTTCCCGTCACCCGAGAAGCTGCTGCGCCTGGGACCCAAGAGCTCGGCGCTCATCACCCAGCAGGTATCGTGGGTGTCATGTCCAGCTAGCGGGCGGGAAGAGGGGTCACCAGGCTGGTGCTTGTATTTCTTTACTGATGTTGAGATTGGTGTCTTTGGGGGTCACCCCCAGCCATGCCGAAGGTGGGACCCGGGACTCTCGCCCTGAGACCCCCACACCAGGTCTCCAGCCCCTCTGGGTTCTGGTGTTTTTGTTTGGGGGCCACACCCCAAGATGGTGCCTGGGGTGCCTCCCCGCGTCTCTGCGGCCTGCAGCTCCGTCCGCTGTGGGCCAGGCCTGCGTGGGGCCCTTCTCGTGCCGAGGGGTGACTGGTGACTGACTGTTGTCCCCGTGTCCCCAGACTGACACATCCGACCCGGAGAAGGTGGTGTGTACCTTCCTGAAGGTGTCCTCTGTGTTCAGGGACGAAGCCACAGTGAGGACGGCCGTGCAGGACGCTGTGGGTAAGGCAAGCCGGGTGACACGCCAGCTGGACGGGACGGGACGGTCGTCCAGCCGGGCACCCTGGTCTCTGCTGCGGTGTGTTCAGGCCTGGATGGCTGTTGGGCAGCTCACGGCCTGGAGGGGGCTGAGCTAGGTCTGTGTCCGTCTGTCCTCGAGGTGTAGTACGTTCCACTGGGCCCCCTGCAGCACCTGCCGAGGCGGCCTGTCCCCGAGACCCAGCCCATGGGCTTGTATGGCGACAATTTGCCTGAAGTCTGGTCCCCAAGCAGGAATAAGGGCCCAGGGCGGACCGTGCAGGCCCACCACCCCGAAGACACCCCTACATAGACACCATCTAGATGGCTGGCCCCCAGACACACACACACACACACACACACACACACACACACACACACACACACACTGAGGTGTTGAGCACTGGTAGGTCAAGCCCTTCCCTGGTGCTGCCTGTCCCCGCGGTCTGGCACCTGTGTCCTCGTCCTCCCTCCTGTGTCCACCCCTGATGGGGGCGGGACCGGGCCCTGGGCGTGGGAGCCGACGGGGGCCCAGGCGCGGCTGAGCCCCCTCGTGCCTCGCAGACGCCCTGATGCGGAAGGCCTTCGGCTCGTCCTCCTTCAACGCCAACGTCTTCGTCACCCGGCTACTCATCCACATGGGTCTGCTCAAGGTATGGGGGGGCCCGGGGAAGGGGGTGGCGTCTGCCCACGCAGCCTCTGTCTTCCGGGGCCAACTGGAGGCTCAGCCCCGCCACTCCGCGCCCCCTTTCAGAGTGAAGACAAGGTCAACGTCATTGCCAACCTGTCGGGGCCTCTGATGGCGCTCACCCACGTCGTGCAGCAGGACTATTTCCCCAAGGCGCTGGCCCCGCTGCTGCTGGCCTTCATCACCAAGTGAGTGGCCAGTGCAAGGCAGGACGTCCCCCAGTGCCCATTTTCCAGAAAGGACAAGAGCCCCAAGTGCCCGGACACCTGGGCCGCCCCCCTGGACCCTGGTGGTCACTGCCGTCAGGCCGGGGCTGCTTCTGCCCTAGATCCAACATCTGCCCAGCAGCTGTGGGGGGTGGGGGGCTGCCCTCGGGCATGGTGTGTGGTTGGGGCTAAGCCCCCAGGGGGGTCAGAGCCTATGAGACAGCCCCGCCCCCCACCTCAGCAGGGGCTGGGACTGTCCCGGGCTGGCCAGGGTCCCCAACAAAGGGCAAAGGGTTCCTGTGTCTCCTGCCCACCTCTGGGTCCCCAGTTCCCCCCAGGCTGGGTGTGGGCCCGCAGAACCTCCCCCACCCCTAGCTGCCCGCTGTGGCCCTCTCCGGTGAGGACTGAGTGGCCTTTCAGGGACACCGTGCCGTAATCGGCACCTGTCTGGGAGACAGCCAGGTAGCAGGTGTGTGGGCACCACGCTGTGCCCGCCCCGGGCTGCAGAGACCCTCCCAATAAAGTCATATGTGAGCCGGCCACGGCCTCTCCTCCCGCGGTGCCCAGGGCCTGGGTGGACATGACAGGCCCCGCAGAGCCGAGAGCCACCGCGGATGTCAGAGCCGAACCCACAGACAGGGCAAGAACCTAGGGACCCTCCCGGGACACCAGCCGTTCTTCCCGCAGGCCCAACGGCGCCCTGGAATCCTGCTCCTTCGCCCGCCACAACCTGCTGCAGACGCTCTACAAGGTGTAGCCCCGGCACGGCCTGGCCTGGAGCGACCCTCGGGGAAGGACTCGGGGACAGGCTGGCCCAGCACAGAGGGCTCAGCCGGGCGCAGCGGCTGCCCCGAGGGAGTGTGGGGCGTGTGCCTGTGGTGGCTGCTTCTGGCTCTGGGTCCGAGTGGCGCTGTCACCGCTGGGAAGGATGCTGGCCAGGGCAGCCCGGGCCACTGTGCCATTGAACTCTGCTGTCAGGACTCGGCCCGCTGGCCCGTATCTGGCCTGTGATGAGCAGCCCAGGCTGCACTTGGCTGGGTGGGATGAGCCAAGGCTGGTGGCCCCTGGCCAGGCCTAGAGCTGGCTCCACTCATGCCGGAGCTGCTTCTCTGGGGTGGGTGGGTGGGTGACAGCCCCCGCCTTCCCCCGTGCCGTGCCGGGCTGTGCCCGGGCGTCCCCAATAAAGTTGTGTGTGGCGGCAGTGACCCGGCCACGGCCTCTCCTCCCGCAGCGCCCTGGGCCTGGGTGGACACCACAGGCCCCGAAGAGCTGAGAGCCACCGCAGATGTCAGAGCCGAACCCACAGACAGGGCAAAAACCTTGAAGGGGGCCGGAGCGACAGTACAGCAGGGAGGGGAGGGCGCATGCCTCGCGCACAGCTGGCCTGAGTTCAATCCTGGCATCCCATATAGTCCCCCAAGCATCGGAGTAATTTCTGAGTGTTGCTGGGTATTGCCCAAAACTCCCCTCCCTCCTCCCCCAAAAAACATCCCTAGCAGCTCCCCAGTCCCCTGCTTTAAATGGATAAAATGCAGGGGCTGGAGAGATAGCACAGCGGGTAGGGCATTTGCCTTGCACGCAGCCGACCCGGGTTCGATTCCCAGCATCCCATATCCCTGAGCACCCCATATCCCTGAGCACCGCCAGGAGTAACTCCTGAGTGCAGAGTCAGGAGTAACCCCTGTGCATTGCCGGGTGTGACCCAAAAAGCAAAAAAATATATATATATAAAAGGGTTCCCAGCGGGGCAGGCGCCCATGAGGAGAAATTCAGCAGTGGGGGTGACTGGCGCCAGGGAGCCCCCTGGGAGGTGCTCTCTGGAGTGGGGGGAGGAGGGGTGGTGTGCAGGATGGGACTCATGGCCGTTTGGTGGTTTTAAGGTTTTCTTTATTGTTGGGGGCCACTCCCAGCAGCACTTGGGGCTTCCGGCTCTGTGCGCTAGGCTGTGGGGAACCGTATGTGGTGCCAGAGATTGAACCCAGGTCGGCTTATGCAAGGCAAGTGCCCCTGAGCCCATTTGGGATAATGAAAAAGTCCTGGAAACGGAGGGTGCTGGTGGTGGCTACACACGTCACCCCTTAGAGCCTGGGAGGGCGAGGAGGCTTGAGTGCAGAGTTTCATGTGCTGCCTGTGTCTCAGGTTGATGCGGCTGGAGAGAGCACGGGCGATACGAACTCTGGCTCAGCTCTGAGCACCGGAGCACAGCTGGGCGGGGCCCACGCAAAGCAGCACCCAAGAGAACCGGGCCGAGCACAGGCTCACAGGGTCAGCAGCCCCGGAAGGCCCCGCCGTGCTCTGTGGTCCTGCCATGGCTGGGATCAAACAGGAACTGCCTGTGGCCTAGACCAGGGCCGTGCCGCCTACAGTGTCTCCAGCCCTCGTTTTGTTTCTTTTTTTCATTTCTCTTTCATTAGAGCAATGGAGTCAGTCATTTCTTTCCTGTGCCACAAAACTAGATAGTAGCAATTTTCGAAACACCAAGAGCTGCTCGTGTCCACATTTATTCTCTGGACACTGGGCTGCTGCGTGTACAAATCGTTCTCTTTGGATTGCGCCAAAAGTGGTTTTAAAAAATTTTTACAAGCGCCCCTGAAAGATAAGCTGTTACACTATTGACTTATTTGGGGGCACACCTGGCAGTTCTCAGGGCTGACTCCTGAGCACTGCCAGCTGTGCTTGGTCATCAGATGGGGTGCTAGGGATTAAACTTGGATCAGCTGCATGTAAGGCAAATGCCCTACCCACTGTACTATCTCCCTGGCCCCCTACCACAGTTTGCAATTACAAAATCTTATAATCATGGCAACCCCAATGTCCAAGATTGATGTACAAGTTGGTGCAGTTCTAGAACAGAAGATGAAAAACAGCTCAGCTCCCAGGCCAGGATGGGACCGACACACAGACAGCACTGGGTACTTGGCTTCCATTTCAACACACACAGACACACGGCATTGGGCAGCCGGCAGTATGATGCTGTTTGAGGAGCAAATGTTTGCGGAGTGTGGCTTGCAGCACTCAGAACTTAACCCTGGCTCTGCTCAGGGATCACTCCTGGTGGGCTTCGGGGAATCGTACTTGGTGCTGCCCTCACCCTGTCTTGCACCATTGCAGCCTGGTGCACGGGCAGGAGGCCTGCCTTTGCCAGCACTGCTCAGGGCCTGCTGTCTGTCCAGGGAGGATTCTCGCAAAGCTTGGGACCATCTGGGGTGTCAGGGGATGGGCCAAGTGTCATTGCTCCTCCCTGCAGTTCCTTGAGCACCTACTACATGCCAGTGCCCAGCTCGGTGCGACTGTTTTTTAGTGGGAAAAGGGCTGGTGAGGCAGGTCCCCCAGGTAGTGAGGGGGCCGGCGCTGGGCAGCACCAAGAGGAACCTCACTGCCCTTCCTTCCTGGCGGCCCGCTGAGCTCCCCAGACCTGTGCCGGAAGCCTGTAACTCAGCCCGGCTCCCACCTCCCGGCCCCCCTTCCCCCCACACAGGCTCCGGTGGCCGCGCCCAGAGCCCCACAATGCTGCCATTCAGCCCGGGGCTCGGGGCTCGCCAGGCAGTCGGGGCTGCAGGCAGGGACGCGGCTGCGCCTCCAGGCTGGACGAGGGGTTCGGGCAGCATGGAGGGGTGAGTCTTTGGGCCTGGGGGCTGCGATGGGGAGGGGCGTCGGGAGGCTTGAGTGGGAGCAGGGAAGCCCCTCCTCGTCCCTGGGCCTCAAAGTGGGGGTGGGATGGGCTCTGTGGGGGCAGGCTGGATGCTTCTCTCGGGGGTCTGTCCAATGGCGTCCCCTTCACCGCAACCCGCAGTAGCTCAGGAGGCCTGGGCAGACCATGGGGGGCCTCAAGGGGACTGACTAGGACCCGGAAGAGCTGGGGACTTGGGAGTGGAGTGCCCTGCTTGGAGTGGGCCCAGCTGGGGAGATGCCGGAGGGTTCCCAGATAGTGGGCTGGGGGGGGGGGGTTAGGGTTCATCAAAGTTCTGGAAAGTTCTCAGGTTGTGGGTGCAGAGCCCAACTGGGAGACTGAGGGAGCCCAGGCGGCAGCAGAGGATAGACAGGTGAGGTCAGGTGGACAGGCTGGCGGATGCACAGCCTGGGGGGCAGAGGGCAGGGGGCCATGAGAAATGGGGCTCCCGTCACCCCAATTCTGACCCACTATGAGAGACCCACAGTGCCTCAATCCCCCAAGTCCACCTCGCACCTTCCTGCTGCCCACAGCAGGTCCTGCTTGTCCACCCAGACCGGGGGCCACCCCACAGCCCAGGCACACGGACCCGGGGACCAGCCTCGTGTCAGCCAGGCTGGCGGGAGCTCCAGCTCAGGCCCAAGCAAGTGTATCCGGGCCCTGAAAGGCACCACGCCCCCGATGCGTGTCCCCAGTCCCTGCACAGGCTAGAATGTCACACTGGGGTTCCAGGAGGCTAGACAAAGCAGAAAATATTTGGGGGCCAAACCCGACTGTGCTCCGGGATCACTCCGGTGGGCACCTCTGGGGTGCCGGGGATTGAACCCAGGTTGGCGACAGGAAGGCAGATGCCCTACCTGCCGTACTATCTCTCAAATGACACAGTGACGAGACTGGACGGGACACACAGTTCCACGATGCGGAAGGCGGGCGGGGGTGTCAGGCTGAGCACACACCTTACATACAATGGCCCAGGTGGCCTGAGCACTGACAGGGGCACAGAACCAGGAGTAACCATTCAGCACTGCCATGTGCCACCCCCCACCCCTGACACACACACCAACAACGAAGCCATGATTTGGAATTTGCTGAGGGAGAGAAAAGCCTGCAGAGGCCCCTGTGTGTGATGCCGCTGTTCCTGCTTGAACACCAAGGGCCGAGGCAGTGACACGGCAGCGACATCTGAGATGGGCCAGCACCAGGATCAGGCTGGCGTGTACGCGCGGACACAGCCCCTTGGCCGGGGGGAGAGGGTGAGTGCCGTGACATTCCCCCGGCCCTTTCTCCCTCTCCAGGCGCCAGAGCTCTGCCCGCTTCTTGGTGCTGCTGCTGCTGCTGTTCCTGGGGCCAGCCTGGCAAGCTGCCGCCCAGCGCTGCCCACAGGCCTGCATCTGTGACAACTCCAAGCGGTATGTGGCCTGCCGCCACCAGAACCTCACGGAGGTGCCAGATGCCATTTCTGAGGTGAGTGGGGGCAAGGGCGGGAGAGGAGCTGGGCCGGGACACTGTGCAAATCACGTCCCTCTGAGGGGCTGGACGGTACAGTTGGGTAGGGCACTTGCCTTTCAGGGGCCGACCCAGTTTTGGTCCCCAGATCCCTTATGGTCCTCTGAGCACCGTCAGGAGTAATTGCTGAGTGCAGAGCCAGGAGTAACCCCTGAACACCGCCAGGTGTGGCCCCACAAAAAAAAAAAATCATGTCTCTCTGAGCTTCAGTTTTTGCACCTGTAAAATACGGATAATAACCATCCCCAGGAGGAGGCCGGAGCAATAGCACAGCGGGGAGGGCATTTGTCTTGCACGCTGCTGACCCAGGTTCAATCCCCGGCATCCCATATGATCCCCCGAGCACTGCCAGGAGTAATTTCTGAGCGCAGAGCTAGGAGTAACCCCTGAGCATCGCTGGGTGTGACCCAAAAAAGGGACACATACACACACACACACACACACACACACACACATACACAGAGAGAGAGAGAGCAGGTAGGGCACTTGTCTTACATGCGGCTGATCAGGATTCAGTCCCCTGAGCCTTGTCAGGAGTCAGCCCTGAGCACAAGCAGGAGTCAGCCCTGAGGACCACCAAGTGTTGTCCCCGGACAAACACCCACCAGCAGGAATGCAATGGACTCACTGTCTGTGGCTGGAGAGACCGCGCAGTGAGGACAGTGCTGGCCTTGCACGCTGCCCACCTGGGTTCAATCCCTGGCACCCCATCAGGTGCCCGGAGCCCGGTCATTAGTGGAGTAGTCCCTGAGCTCAGAGGTAGGAGTAAGCCCTAGAACACTGCTATGTGTAACCCCGAAATGAAAAAAAAATCTAGTGAAATGAAAATAGAGACAAAGAATTGGGGAACTCCGGGATCAGGTGTGGTCTCCCAGGAAGGATCAGATGCAGAGTGCATCTGAGGTCCCACGGAGGGAAGGGGCTCTGCACAGGCTCAAAGCAAGCTTGGTTTGCTGCTGGCACTGCTCCTCTGAGCACTGTCAGGCGTGACCCAACCCCCAAACCCCACCCCACAAACGTGTCTGAGCCAGGGATGCCCAAGTAGGTGGGGAAGGCAGCATCCTGGAGGAGGTGTCCGGGCAGGATGAGAATGAGGGTGAGGGGCCGGAGTGATAGTATAGTGATAGGGGTAAGGCGCCTACCTTGCATATGGCTGACCTGGGTTCGACTCTCGGCATCCCATTTGGTTCTCTGAGCACCACCAGGAGTTGATTCCTGAGTGCAGAGCCAGGAGGAACCCCTGAGCATCACCAGGTGTGACTCCAAACCAAACCAAAAAGAATGAGGGAGAGAACGGGATAGAAGAACCTTCCAGGGGGCAGATCCATAGTACAGCGGGGAGGGCGTTTGCCTTGCACGCGGTGGACCCGACTTTGAACTCCAGCATCCCATCGGGTCCGAGCACCTCCAGGAGTGACCCTTGGGTGCAGAGCCAGGAGTCACCCTAAGCACTGCCCCCCAAAAGAATACCCTTCCAGACGGGCTGGCGGGGGGCGGCAGCTTCTGAGGGGCGTCTCCCCCTGCCCCTCAGCTGACCCAGCGGCTGGATCTCCAGGGCAACGTGCTGCGGGCCATCCCGCCGGCCGCCTTCCAGGCCCTGCCCTACCTGACGCATCTGGACCTGCGGCACTGCCAGGTGGAGCGAGTGGCCGAGGGCGCCTTCCGGGGCCTGGGCCGGCTGCTCCTGCTGAACCTGGCGGCCAACCGGCTCCGCGCGCTGCCCCAGGAGGCGCTGGACGGGCTGGGCGCCCTGCGGCGGCTGGAGCTGGAGGGCAACGCGCTGGAGGAGCTGCGGCCGGGGGCGTTCGGGGCCCTGGGCGCGCTGGTCACGCTGAACCTGGCCCGCAACGCCCTGGTCTACCTGCCGCCGCTGGCCTTCCAGGGGCTGCTGCGCGCGCGCTGGCTACGGCTGGAGCGCAACGCGCTCAGCGTGCTGGCGCCCGAGGCCCTGGCCGGCCTGCCCGCCCTGCGCCGCCTCAGCCTCCAGCACAACGAGCTGCAGGCCCTGCCCGGGCTGGCCGTGTCGCAGGCCCGCGGCCTGGCCCTCCTGGAGCTGGGCCACAACCCGTTCACCGCGGCGGGCGAGGAGGACGGGCTGGCGCTGCCCGGCCTGCGGGAGCTGGCGCTGGACCACGGCGCCCTGCAGGCCCTGGGCCCGCGGGCCTTCGCGCGCTGCCCGCGCCTGCAGCGCGTGGACCTGCGGGGCAACCAGCTGGCCACGCTGCCGCCGCTGCAGGGCCCGCGCGCGCTGCGGCGCCTCCGGCTGCTCGGGAACCCGCTGTGGTGCGGCTGCGGGGCGCGGCCGTTCGCGCGCTGGCTGGCGCGGACGCGCGTGCGCTCGGACGGCGCCGCGTGTGCGGGGCCGCGGCGCCTGCGGGGCGAGGCCCTGGACGCCCTGCGGCCCTCGGACCTGCGCTGCCCGGGCGACGCGGGGGAGGGGGAGGAGGAGGAGGAGCAGCAGCAGCAACGGGCCTCGCCGCGGCCCCGCGGGCCCGCCGAGACGGACGGCGCGGCCCGGCCCTGCCCGAGCGCCTGCGCCTGCTCCCGCGACGCCCCGCACGGCAGCTGCGACGGCCGCGGGCTGCGCGCCGTGCCCCGCGGCTTCCCCGACGACACGGAGCTCCTGGACCTGCGGCGGAACCACTTCCCCGCCGTGCCCCGCGCCGCCTTCGCCGGCCTGGGCCGCCTGGTGTCACTGCACCTGCAGCACTGCGCCATCGCCGAGCTGCGCGCGGGCGCCCTGGCCGGCCTGGGCCGCCTCCTCTACCTCTACCTGTCGGACAACCGGCTCGCGGGCCTGAGCGCCGCCGCCCTCGCCGGGGCGCCCCGCCTGGCCTACCTGCACCTGGAGCGCAACCGCCTCCTGCAGGTGCCCGCGGCCGCCCTGCGCGCGCTGCCCGGCCTCATCTCCCTGCACCTGCAGGACAACGCCGTGGCGCGCCTGGAGCCGGGGGACCTGGCGGGCGCCCCGGCCTTGCGCTGGCTCTACCTGAGCGGCAACCGCCTGGCGCGCCTGCCCCCCGGGGCGCTGGGCCCCGCGCCCGAGCTGGAGACGCTGCACCTGGACCGGAACCGGCTGCGGGAGCTGCCGCCCGGGGCCTGGGAGGGGCTGCCCGCGCTGCTGGAGCTGCAGCTGTCGGGGAACCCGCTCGGCGCCCTGCCCGCCGCCGCCTTCCGGCCCCTGGGCCAGTCGCTGCAGCGCCTCTTCCTCAACAGCAGCGGCCTGGAGCAGGTGCGCACCCGCGGGGTGCAGCTGGGAGATACCCCGAGATGAACCAGCCCCGGGGCCCGCTGAGAGCTCGGGAGCCGCAGAGAGACCGGCCGAACCCGCGGCACTGGCGGGAAGGAGGACGGGAGGGATGTGGGGTCTCAGGATACCCCCTGGGCACTCTGAGAGCCGGCGGAGCCCCCAGAGGCTGGGCCAGGACGGGCGGGGGGCGGCATAAGCGAGCGGGGAGCGGCGCGGGGTGGGCGGGCCCGAGCTCACCCCTGGCGGCGTCTCCCCGCAGGTGGCCCCCGAGGCCTTCTCGGGGCTGGGGCCGCGGCTGCAGAGCCTGCACCTGCAGGAGAACCGGCTGCGGGTCTTGCCCGCCCTGCGGGCTCTCGGCCAGCTGGGGCTCCTCGACCTCAGCGGCAACCCGTTCCACTGTGACTGCCAGCTGCTCCCGCTGCACCGGTGAGCACCCCCCCACCCCCACCTACCCCCACCTCTTGGGGCCTCCCCTGTCCTGGAAGGCCGATGGGGGAGAGGAGCTTCCTGGCGGGCCACGTGTGCTTCTCAGAGCCTGGATTCCCGCAGCCGCCGAGGGGGCGTGGCCTCCCAGCCTGGACACTGCAGCCACACAGCACGTCAGGAGTCCACTGGGGGTGCAGAGGTCTGGGTTCCATCCCCAGAGCCCCCTCAAACCAGAAACCGGGGCTGGAGAGATAGTTCAGGCATTTGCCTTGCACACGGCCAATCCGGGTTCGATTCCCATCATCTCATATGGTGCCCTGAGCGCCACTAGGAGTAATTCCTGAGTGCAGAGCCAGGAGTAAACTGTGCATCAGCAGGCGTGACCCAAAAAGCTACAAAACAAACTGAAAACCTAAAGCAAGAGAAGGGATCAGGAAAGAGACCAGGAAGGGAACTCGACTCTGTGCGCCTGTGAGCATGGACCTCGTGCAGAAACACGCACACCAGGATGCGGGCCCCAGAGTTGACCCGGTTCACCTCAGGTCGCGCCCGTGAGGCATGTGTCCTGCTGGCCCCGGCCCTCCAAACATGCTGTGGCCCCCGAGGCCTGCACAGGTCTGAGGGACAGTGTGTCCTGGGCCGCGTTAGCTGAGAACTACTTAGTAAACTGCCCCCCACACACATGCCCCAAAACCAACCTACCAGCCTGTGCTGTTGGTCATGTGGCCTCTCAGGTGGATAATTAAGAATCACATCGCAGGGGCCAGGCAACAGGACAGCAGGGAGGGCATCTGCCATGCGGCTGACCCGGGTTCCATCCCCGACACCCCAGATGGTCCCCCGAGCATCGTCAGGAGTAACCTCTGAGCATTGCCGGGTGTGCCCCAAAAAGAAAAAAAATCACATCTTAGAACTGGAGAGAGTACAGCAGGGAGGGCGTTTACTTTGCTACCAACTCAGGTTCGATCCCTGGCACCACATATGGTCCCCTGAGCACCACCAGGTGTCCCCACCCCAAAGTCACATCACATTTGCAAATCCACAGGTGGGGAGATGGTTCAGGGGAAGGCGCAGGCATGAGCCCTGGGTTCCATCCCCGGTACCCCCGTGAGCACGTCCTGGTCATTTTGCCTGGCCTCGTCCATCTGTGGCGGCTTAGAGTGGCTGAGGGTCCCTTCCAATGGCCGCCCTGGCTCACGGTCCCCGACCTCGCTCCTCAGGTGGCTCGCGGGGCTGAACCTAGAGGTGGGCGCCACCTGTGCGGCCCCATCGCGAGCCCGTGGCCAGAGGGTGGCCGCCGCAGCTGCTGTCTTCGAAGCCTGCCCAGGCTGGGCTGCCCACGAGGAGGGAAGACGGCAGGGAGTGGACCAGGCTGGCCACGGGGCAAGTCGGGAAAGGGGCAGGTCCCTGAGCCCTGGGGGTGGGATGTGACTGCTCTTGGGGCCCCGGGGTCTCAGAGGAGCCTCGGCTCACTGGTGTCCCCCACCGCTTCCTCCTTCAGGGCACCCGGCGAGTTTGACGGAATGACACTGATTGTCTCAGGACAGGACATGGCAGCTCTGACCACTGGTGGCCGTCCCCGTCGGAGTTCAGGCCCAGCTCCCCCCAGGACAGCGGGAACAGAAGTGGGGGTGTGGCTGACACCACAGGGTGGGCCCCACTCTGGGCTCCTGGCACCTGACCTGCCGGTCTGTCCTGCAGAGCTGCACTTTGGGGAAGGGCCTGGGTTCCACCCCCGGACCCACGGTCCCTTGGGTGTCCCATGGGTGTGGCCTCCAGGAGCCAAAATAAACAGGTGCGAGACTGTGACGCCCTCCTCAGGGGGCCTTGCTGGGAGTGGGGGGCGCGGAGGGAGGCCAGGGGCGGGCTCAGTGGCCCTGGAAAGCGGGCTGAGGGCTGCTTCGGCATATCGCCAGCCGCCCAGTGGTCAGTGGCACTGCCTCACCGCCACGCATCCCCCCTGCACTGGCGCCAAAAGCCCTTTCCCGTGTCGTTGGTCTCGAGGGGCCGGGCTCACAGGTCCCTGGCACCGGGAGCTGGGGGAAGCGGTTTCTCCCGCGGCCACGATGGCCAGGTAGAAGGTCCAGGCCATGGTGAGGTGTGGTGCACGGGGCATAGCCACCCCAGCCCTAGGGCTGCCCTGTGTCAGCTCCTCCTGGGAAGCTAGAGGCAGGAAGGGGCCTGGCCGGTGTCCTGGGCGCCCTCGGTAGGTGCTGTAAGGGCCCGGCACCCCCAGACTGTCAAGGGGTGAGCAAGGGCCATGGCGAGTCACGCGCAGCATGGGAGCTGGCCAGTGACGGGGCACATGTGGGCAGCCAGCTGGCCGTGCATGGGAGGGTCCCCATCTGTGACAAATCAAGGTGGCCTCCAGCCCACAGGCCCCTTTTCCCCTCCTGTCACGCACAGCAGGGCCAGCTACGCGCAGTGTGAGGGACAGGGACGCAGATGGGCCCTGGGGGGAAGGAAAGAGGCTCAGGAGACCGCAGGGCACCCAACTTCAACTGGACCATTGGTGACACTTTTATTCTGGGGTTCCTGGGGACCAAACACAGGTCCTGCCACGCCAGCCACAACCTGGTCTGCTCCTGTCAACCCGCATCTGGGGTGGGCCCTCCCCTCCCCAGAGACCTGTCCTGCAGGGCAGGGCGTGAACACGTGGGCCGGCACTGTTCCAGCCTTGTGGGGTGGGGGGCAGCACAGCCCCTCTTCCCGACCCTGCCCCGATTCTGGTCTGCACCGCTTCACACACGTGTCACAGTGAACGGGGCTGGGGTCTCCCTGCATTTTCCGTGGCGCTGGGCCGACCGGAAACAGCCTCCCTTGAACTGCTCCCCCATCTCCGGGGCAGCACCGAACAGCAGGGTCCCGCCCGAGAGGAGCAGCCAGGCCCCCGAAAGGCCTGGGTCAGGTGACAGGCAGCGCCACAGGACAGGGGCTGTGGACAGCTCTGGGCCCCGGGAGCGTCTCCAGAGCTGCCTCCGACGGCACGGCCTCCTCGCAGCTCACCCGACCCTCAAGTGTCCTCACCGCCTGCTCTGCACCATGTTGGGGGGTCCCCCACGCTCTGGACACAGACCCCACCGGGCAGCGGGGGACGCGGTGGCAGCGGAGGGCGCCGAAGAGCTTCGGGGATTCTTGTCACCAGCAAGGTTAGGGGCTTCTGGCCTTGGCGGCAGTGGTCCTGTGGTGGCCGGTCCTCAAGGTCCCCCGCAGGGCGAGGCGGCCGCGGGCTCAGTTGTCCGTCTCCTGCTTGATGCTCTCGACGGGAACCGGCAGCTCGGGGCTCGGGGCCCTGTCGGGGGTGTCGGGGGGATCCGGATACTCTTCCTTCACCCGCACGGTGATGACTGGGGGGATGGGGGTGAGCGCTGGGGGGCTGCTGGCCAGGGCTGCCCGCCTGTGGGGTCTCGGGTGTCAGGGAGGGGCCCTGGTGCGTGACCTTTGCCCTTTGGGGCAGGAGCGCCCCCAGACTTACTCTCTTCCGACTCGGCGGCCTTTTCTGCGTCCAGCAGCCGCTTCTTGGAGGCTTGTCTGAGGGGCCGGGCCTTGGCGGGGGGGATTCTCTTCCCTGTGCGTGGAGGGGGGGTCACCCAGCCCGTGGGAGTCAGCTCGGCATGAGGCGGCCCCGAGCGCCCCCAACGCCACCCGGTCCCCAGAGAGAAACAGTAAAACGGATGATGAACCCTCCACGGTCGGGGGGCGCAGGGGGCGCCAGTCCCCTCTCCCCCAGCCCAACCTCTCTCCCCCAGCTCTCCTGAGCCCCAGACACAGGTGCGGGGGGCGGCCCCCAGGGACAGGAGCCGTGCCAGGGGCCACTTACTCTTCTTCCCAAACTGTTTCTTTCTCTTCTTTGCGGCCTCCTTGGCCTTCAGAGGCGCGGACGGCTCTGTGGCGGGAAGGCCGGGGCGGGGGTGAGGAGGGTGCGAGAGGGCGCCAGCCCGGCCTGCCCCCCACGAGCCTCCCGGACACGGGACACCTGAGCGAGGAAGGCAGAGGGACGGGATGAGGTGGGCAGCGTGGCGCCGCTGACACGCGGGGCGCTGGAGGGGCTCCCCAGGGCGCCGCACCTGTGGCCACGGGCGGCTGCAGCTGGTAGCCGGTGAGCTCGCACCAGCCCACGGGGTAGATGTCGGGGGACTCGCAGTCCACCCACTGGTCGTACTCGCTGTCCCAGCCATCGAAGTGGATGCTGAGCAGCCGGTGCACCACGCGCCGGACCGTGGCCACGCAGATGAGCCGGGGCTCCATCAGGTCCACCGCCTCTAGCTTCATGCCCACCTTGAAGCCGTGGTTCGGGCAGTCCTGGGCAGGCGGACAGGGTGGTGGGCAACCCGCTGGGGCCTCCCTGTCCCCACGCTGGGGTCCGGCAGCCCGAGCAGAGTCGCCCGCTGTGCTGTGACCCCACCCGGCCGCCCCCCACACCGCGCCCTCACCATGTTGAAGAGCCTCGAGGGGGCGGCCCTGGCCTTGGTTTTCTCCAGGTACGTCTCCCAGTTGAAGGTGCCGCCTTCGTAGCCTGCAGGCACAGTGCCGTGAGGACAAGAGCCCAGGCCGGCCCTGCTGTCACCACCACCTCGGGGCCACCGGCTCACCTTTGGGGGGCGTGAGCTCAATGTCGTTCTTCTGGCAGAAGGTGGCTGGGAAGATGGCGTGGGACGACGCGTGGTAGCAGAACCAGTCGGCGCCGTCCGAAGTGGCCCCGTCCACGGAGATCATCAGGTAACCGTCCAGCAGCACCTGGCAGCGGTCCCGTGAGTGGCACCCCCACTGGAGCCTCAAACTCACGGCGACTCATCGTGCCCACCGGACGGCAGGGACAGCACCCGGCCTTGGTCCCAGCTTCCCCTCGGGCTGGCCACGGGGAGTCCTGGGGGCTCTCGCAGTCGGAGGCGGGTGGCGGCAGCACCCAGGGCCACCCCGTCCCCTCGGCCACAGTGGCCCTGTGCTCACCTTGCAGATGGTGGCCACACAGATGTTGCCCAGATTCAGGGGGTCGATGGCCTCCAGCTTCATGCCCTCCTCAAACCAGCCGCCCTCGGTGTAGACAGCTCGGACCTGGAAGGAACCCAGCAGTTGGGGACCGTGGGGTGGTCCAGGCGAGGGAAGCACCCCCCCCCCCCCCGAGTCTCACCTTCTTGAACAGGTAGGGCACGGCGTCGCAGTAGATCTTGCGGAAGGTGGGGTGCTGTGCCATGTCGCTGCGCCTCTCTTCAGGGGAGACGGCAGAGGAGCAAGGGAGGGTGAAGGCAGAGAAGGGGGCCACCCCCACTCCCCAGAAATATGGGGGCTTCCTGCAAGTGCCTGACCTCTGCCCTCAGCCCCCCACCCCCGGGCCTTCTGAGGGGACACTCAGCACATGGGGAGAACCAGGCCTGCACCCCTGGGTTCACAGCTTCAGGCTGGGGGAGGGGAGGTCTGCTAACCCGACAGCCGGATGCCGTGGCCGACACGGCGGGACCACCCCACTGGGTGGATCAGGGGGCTCCACATGTGGCACCAGAAGTCGTCGTCACTGTCCCCATCCTCATACAGGAGCCGCAGGCGACCCCCAATGACCGTGTCCACCACGGCCATGCGGGTCCGGGACACCTGGCCCTTGTCCACCACTTCCAGCCGCATGCCCTGGCGGAAGGGGTACTTCATGCTCTCCACCATCTGCAACGACAGTGCCCAGATGCCAGGCCCGGCCGCACCCCCTCCTGCCTTGGGGTGTCTTCAGAGAAAGGGGAGGCCCTGGAGGCCCCTCCAGGCCGCTCGAGCCCCGTGCCAGGGTACCATAGTGTAATCCCCAGTCATGCCAGGAGGGGGCGCCCTTGGCAGCCACAAAGGGCTGCAGGAAACTGTCCAAACCACACACGGCCAGCTTGAGCTGGAAGCGGCAAGCGCAGGGGACCTGAGAGAGGAGAGTGCCCGGTGCGGGGAGACCCTCCTGACACACGGGAGCTGGGCAGGGGCGAGAAGCCACCCTGATTTCTGATGCATCCAGCGCTTCCCAGAAGAGGGGGCCGCAGGGGTCTCAGAACAGCATCCATGGTTTCCCCAGACACGAGGCCGGGATGGGGCGGGACCAACAGGATGTCGAGCCCTCAGAATCCTTCCCAAGTGTGGGTTGGTTTTCATAAGACAAACTACTCAATACTTTTTTTTTTTTTTTTTTTTTTTGCTTTTTGGGTCACACCAGCAATGCACATGGGACTCCTGGCTCATGCACTACTCAGGAATTACCCCTGGCGGTGCCCGGGGGACCATATGGGATGCTGGGAATCAAACCCGGGTCGGTCGCATGCAAGGCAAACGCCCTACCCGCTGTGCTATCACTCCAGCCCCTCAATACTTTTTTTTAAAAAGAAAAAAAAGAAGAGAGAGGAGGGCATTTGCCTTGCAATTTGGACCCAGGTTAGATTCCCAGCATCCCATATAGTCTCCCAAGCACCACCAGGAGTGATTCCAGAGGGCAGAGCCAGGAGTAACCCTTGTGCATCACCGGGTGTGATCCCAAAGGCCAAATTAAAAAAAAAAAATTAAAAATTAAAAAATTGGGGCTTGGGGCTGGAGCAATAGCACAGCGGGTAGGGCGTTTGCTGTGCACGCGGCCGACCTGGGTTTGATTCTTAGCATTCCATATGGTCCCCTGGGCACCGCCACGGGTAATTCCTGAGTAGTGCATGAGCCAGGAGTAACCCCTGTGCACTGCCAGGTGTGACCCCCCCAAAAAAAAGCAAAAAAATAAAATAAAAAATAAAAATTGGGGCACACTTGGAACCATCAATACTTCCTAAATATGCACAAAGCGGGACAGGAGCAATGGTACAACGGGGAGGGCGTTTGCTTACACACAACAACCTGGGTTCGATCTCTGACACCATTTAGGGTCCCCCAAGCCCCGCCACCAGTGATCCCTGAGCGCAGAGCCAGGAGTAGGCCCTGAGCACCGCAGGGCACGACCCCAAACCAAAGAACGACAAAACCCAACACAAAAACACACAAAACTAAACCAAATAGGGGGCTGGAGCAATAGCACAGCGGGTAGGGCGTTTGCCTTGCACGCAGCTGACCGGGTTCAATTCCCAGCATCCCATATGATCCCCTGAGCACTGCCAGGGCTGATTCCTGAGTGCAGAACCAGGAGTAACCCCTGTGCATCGCTGGGTGTGACCCAACAAGCAAAAAAAAAAAAGAAAAACCAAAACCATAAAATGATGCTAACACCATTTCCTCTGCCCGACTCGAGCAGTGCCAGGTAGAATGCACGCTGAGCCGAGGCGAGAGGAGCAAAGGACAGACCCAGCCCTGAGCCTGGAGATTGCTCCGAGCCTGGGGGACGGGTAAGTGGGAGGGGGCGGTGGGAGGGGGCGGCGGGAGGGGGACACTCGCCAGACCTTGATGTGGAAATCCACGGGGAGCGTCCTGGCGCCCACCAAGCGTTTCATGAGGTAGCCCTTCCAGTCCGTGAACTTGGCGTGGATGGCTGCGGAGACACGGAGCCCGGTCAGCCCGCCCCATCTCGCACGCTGGGCGCACGGCTGCTCACGTCTGCGCCCTGGGTCCGCCCGGGGCCCCGGGGCCAGTGGGGTCTGCCTGGGCTCCTGGAAGCAAGTGGGGACTCACTCCTGGGTGGCACCAGGATCTTGCTGTTGATGGCACACCAGCCGATGGGGTGGACGTCCACGGTGCCCAGGTTGCACCAGAAGTCGTGACTGGCGTCATTCTCAAAGCCCTCGTACCGCAGCAGCACCCGGTACCCTGCAGGAAGAAGGGGCGCTGGGAGCTCCAGAAACCCCTCGAGGCCTGGGGGTGGGGGCAGCCGCAACCCCAGCAAACTCCGCCCAGGGGAACGCAGTGAGCACGGTGGGGAGGAGCACCTTTTCATCACTCAGTCATCTCAGGAATCACTTTCGGATTTTCCCTTTTCTGGGCTGGTCTTTGGGCTACCCCCTGCCAGTGCTCAAGATGTGCTCCTGGCTCTGTGCTCAGGGCACCACAAATGGTGCTGGGGATCAAACCGTGTCGGCTGTGTCCAAGCAAGGCGAGCACCTTACCCACTGTCAGGTCTCTCTCCCCTGCCCCCCTGCCCCGCCAGGAGTGACCCCGAACATCAAGACAGCAGCCCCACAGCTACGCCAGAGCAAACAGGCTTGGGGGGCTGGAGGAGCTCGCAATCGGAACCTCCAGGTTGCATCCCGGCTTCACCCCGGCACCCCGGCAGAACGGCGCGCCCCCATGTGCCCCCCTGCCCCTGGGATCAGCCCAGCGGCGGAGAGCAACAGGGAGGGCTCCCGAACTTGCATGTCTGTGCTTCCACGGAGGGGGCAAGCTGGCGGGGAGGTGAGGGGGGAGACGCCCAGCCAGGGCCCGCGCCCACCTGCGGCCTGGATGACGGACGCAATCCAGTACACGCGGCTGGGCAGCACGGCGTCGCTGTTGAGCACCTCCACCTTCATGCCCTTCAGCACGTCCTCCCACTGGTCGTACAGGGGCACCTGCGGGAAGAGGGCCGTGAGGGCGCCCCCCGCGCGGGGCGGCTGGGCCCGAGGGCGGAGGTGAGCAGCCCCGAGCTGGCCTGAGATGGACAGCGGGGAGGGTGCTCGGTCCCCAGCACCCATCTGGCCGCCCGAGCACCGCCAGGAGTGATTCCTGAGAACAGAGCCTGGAGATGGCCCTGAGCAGTGCCGGGTGTGGCCCAAAAACAAAACAGAAAAGACCGGAGTTGCGGGCGGAAGGGCCTGGGGTGGGCAACGGGTGCTCCTCCCCCAGTGCTCCCCTTCACAAGACCCGGGCCAGCGGAACCAGCCAGGCACGGCACCCCGCAGGAAACTTCCAGCACTCGGCGGCAGGCCCAGCTTGTGGCCAACATCGCTTCCCCGGTCACGCCAACACCTTAAGGGCCAGTCTCCCTTCTCTCAGCCCGGCTCCCAGTGCTGCTGGCCCAGTCCTTCTCCCCTCTCTAACCCTGCAGTGCCCTGGGACCCCCTCTCCTCTACACCCCAAGCAGTGGCCTGGAACCCCGACTGTGCAGCTCTGCACCCCACCTGTGGACTGGAACCCCTGTGGCTGCCTCCGGCACCTCTGCTCTCCCCTGAGGGAGATGTGTCCCTTTCGGTTCTCAGCTATGGGACACTGGCCAGGATGCCAGCTGGGGGCAGCTCCCATCAGCGCTCAGGGTCCAGGGGAAGGGGGTGCTGCACCCCCAGCCCGGGATCTGCCCTCCCCACTGAGCGGGCAAGTCAGGGGTTCCCCATCAGCACTGGGGAGTGATGTGGAAAGGTTCCCCGCCCCCCTCACTGGGCACCAGAGGTGGGGGGTGGCACCACATGCCCCCTCCCCTAAACGAACACCAAACCCTGTGGGAGGGCCTGACCCCCATCCCAGCAGGAAGTGGTGCGAAAGCAACGGCAGAGGGAGGAAAGAGGAGGGGGGGACCCCCAGATCTCCCAGCTGTGGGGTGCTAGGCCCAGCCCGGGCTGCCCGCACTCACGTGTTTGAAGCAGCTGACGGGAGCGGCCTTGTAGCTGTGGTCCTTCAGGAACTTCCCCCAGTCGAAACCCAAGACCAGTGCTGCAGGGCGAGAGGGGGTCGAGGTGTGGGCCTGCCCAGCCCCCCTGCGCCCGGCCCAGCTCTCCCTGCAGGCCCCATACCTGCCCCGCCAGAGGCCATCAGGATGATGCCAAGGGACCGAGGGAATGTTCCCCTCCTCCCCTCCACACAGAAGGCAACCAGAGACCCCAGGGCTCAGCCCGGCCCCCCCAGCCACTCATTGGCCGCAGGTGCCCGGAGGCGGGGCACAGGTCCCCAGGCCAGCCACAGAGACAGGAGTGAGAATGTTTCCATGCCTGTCCCCATCAAACCCCCTTGTCCCCCATGCCGAGGCACCTACCGTCCTGGCCCGTGGGCGTGCCGTCCGCCAGCTGGCCCGTCCCCTGAGAGTGGAGGAAAGCGCCGATCTTGGCCGACCAGGCGGCCTTGTGCAGGACTTTGGCCTTCTTGGTGGGGGGCTTTCCCTGGAGGAGCAGGAGGTTGGGGAGTTGGAGGTCAGGCTCCCTTTGCAAATGAAGGCCATCACAATGACAATGCACCCAGGAAGGGAGCCAGGGCTGGGCGCTGAGCCTTCACTTCCTCTAGGCTCCTCCCCTGCACCTAGTCAAGGCTCAGCATTTCCCTTCCCTGCATGACCCCCCTCTTCCCCCCCTACCTGCTGGAGCCAGAACATTCTGTCCCCAACATACATGTTGCTACTTTGGGACCTATGACACTGGTACGGGGGGGCGGAGGGGGGCGGTGGGGGGGCGGTGAGATGCTTGCCTAGCACGGAGCTGGTCCTGGCTGGCTCTCCCACACCGCGTACAGCCCCCAGCCAGGGGCACCGCCCCTGAGCACAGCAAGTGTGACCCCCACACCTCCAACTCAAAACAGTTTGAAATGCACTTTCTTTTTTTTTTTTTTGTGCATTTTGGGTCACACCTGATGATGCTCAGGGGCTACTCCTGGCCTTGCACCCAGGAATTACTCCTGGCAGTGCTCAGGGGACCACATGGGATGGTGGGAATCGAACCCGGGTCGGCCGTGTGCAAGGCAAACGTCCTACCCGCTGTGCTATCGCTCCAGCCCCTGAAATGCACTTTCTTAAGGGCCTTGGGTCAGACTGAGTACCCTCATCAAGGCGAGGATTTTTCCTTCGTGTTTTCTTTTCTGGGGAGTCACCCTAATGGTGCTGGGGACCATGTAGTATCCAGGATTGAACCTGGGAGTCCCACACACGCAGCATGCACTCCATCCCCTTAAGCCAGCCACCTCTCGATCGGACGACATCCTGAGCTACACCAGCAGTGCTCAGGAGGTCATATGTGGTAACTGGGGCTCAAACTAGGGTCCGTCACTTGGCTTTTGGACCACGCCTGGCAGCAGAGCTCAGGGCTCTCTCCTGGCTCTGTGCTCAGCAAACACGCCTAGCAGTGCTGGGCGACCGTATGTGGCGGCTGGGGTCGAATGGGAGGAGCTGCATGCAAGCAAGCACTAAACCTGTGCGCGCTGTCCGGGCCCAGGAAAGCCTTGAACGAAACGGCAAAACGAGGGCCGCAGCAGTGAGTGCTCCCCAGGCGAGATGGGGATGGAGCACGGGGCTGGACCTGGTAAGATAGGGGAGGAGCACTGGGCGGGGCAGGTAAGATGAGGACTGAGAGTGCTGCTTCCAGCCCACAACCTGCCCTGCCTAAAGAGCTGGAGAAGATGAAGACCAGAAATTCACAGGCCCAGGGGCTGGAGCGATGGCACAGCAGGGAGGGCGTCCGCCTTGTACGCGGCCTTGTACCCAGGTTCGATTCCCGGCATCCCATATGGTCCCCTGAGCACTGCCAGGGGTGATCGCTGCGTGAAGAGCCAGGAGGAACCCCCTGTGCATTGCCGGGTGTGACCCAAAAAGCAAAAAAAAAAAAAAAAAAAAATTCACAGGCCTGGTAGGGCCCGAGCAAAGGGCCCTCCGAGCTTGCTGGCTCTCAGAGGCCGGGGCCCCAGCGGGGTCTCCCGCCCGCCTCTCACCTGCAGCCGCGCCAAGATGCTGGCCTTCTTGGAGTTGGAGGAGTAGCTTCTGGAGCAGGAGACGCTGCAGAATCGCTTGGTCTTGGAGAAGAAGGCTTCCCGCGTGCCCACGATCCCGCACATCTCGCACACGGCTGGGAAGGAAGCGGACCACATGACTCACCGTCACCACCCACCCCAGCTCAGCCCAGGCACGGTGATCGGACCCGGGGCACCGCGCTGACCAGCGGGCCACCTAAGGGAGCCAGAGAGAAGATTCCGAGGCAGGCACGACACCCAACAAAGCTGCTCCTAGCCCTGGGTGCGAGTCAGCAGGGGGACGCGGGAGAACCTAAAGCAGCAGTGTGGGCTGGGCCGTGTGCAGGGAAGCGTGCAGGGAAGTGAGTTGAGATGCGTGTGAGCTGGGACACGTGTGAGTTGGGATGCGTGTGAGAAGGGAAGCGTTCAATCCCTGCTACCCCATGGGCCCGAGCGCCCAGACAGAACTGCAAGATCAGCCAGGTGTCACCAGATATAGTCTCTGAGCACTGTTTGGGCAGCCCCCAAATAAGGTCTCTTGATATGTCAGTCTGATGGCCTCGATGGCCTCTAATGGTTCTGGCTAGTTGTAATGTTCTGAGATTCTAAGAGAACATTTGGCAGACAGAGGGAGAAAAATGAAAGGCGAGAAAGGGAGGAAGAGGATGAATCGAAGGACGATTCAGCAGGGCCGAGAGTCCAGGGCTTGAGGCACCTGCCTGGCACTCACCCGGCCCCTTTGCTCCCTGGAGGCACAAAATGAGCCCTGAGCCCAGCCAGGAGCCAGCGCTGAGCCCCACCGGGAGGCCCAGAAGGAAAACGACCACACCCGCAGCAGATTCAGCAGGGGCAGAGCCACTCTGTTCTCCTGGGCGGGGGCCACCCTCTCTGATGCGGGTGTCCCATCACAGAAGCAACCAGTGGGGACCAGCGAGACCAACACAAGGCTCCAGCAGCCACCCAGGCATCCCGTCTCTGAATGCTTAAAATCCACTGACTCCCACGTGGGAACCTTTTATAAGGGGTGACTCTCTAACGTACTTGGGGGCTACTCTGAGTTTGCTGCGCAGTGGATCATGTGGTGCTGGGGACCATGTGGAACCTGGGACTCTGAGCCATCTCCTGACCTTCCAGGGTGGTTATTTTATATACATGTATATATGTATATATAGGGAGAGAATTTTTTTTTTTTTTTTGGTGAGGGGAGGACCACACTCAGCAGTGCCAAGGGATCACGCCTGTGGGTACTCAGGGACCATATGAGATGTCTGAGATTGAACTCGGATCAGACACATGCAGGGCAAGCGCCCGACCTGCTAGAGTTTCTCTCCAGCTCCTCCACTGGAACCCTGACCCTCTGGGCCAGGTCCCTTCATTCTGCATTTCCCTCCCCCTCTCTACCAACCCCAGCAACTTCCTTTCCTGGACAATAACCATTACACAGGTGTTCACCAGCTTCTGTAGTCCTCATCCTTTGTGAATACGAAAGGGCACAGTAGCACTGTGCCACCACTGCCATTTAATTGGTGCACTCACAAAATCAAGGGAATGAAGTTCAAATCATTCACTTTGGGGCTGGAGCGATAGCACAGCGGGGAGGGCATTTGCTGTGCACGGGGGGCTGACCTGGGCTCAATTCCCAGCATCCTATACGGTCCCCTGAGCACTGCCAGGAGTAATTCCTGAGTGCATGAGCCAGGAGTAACCCCTGTAACAACGCTGGGTGTGACCCAAAAAGCAAAAAAAAAAAGTAATAATAATAATAATAATAATAATAATAATAATTCACTTTGAATGAGGGGCTGGAGAGATCATACAGCAGGTAGGGCAGCTGCCTGTATGCCACCAACCTGGGTTCAATCTCTGGCCCAGTATACGGTCCTCCGAGGTTGCCAGGAGTGACCCCTGAGCACAGAGCCGGGGCAAGCCCAGAGCACTGACAGATGTGGCCCAAAAACAAACCACTGCTATAGAAGAATTGATCCCTGTAGGCCGCGTGAGCGCTTCCGCCTCTCTCAGCCCCCAGAAACCACACGCAACTCTCCTTCACCCCCACAGGGCTCTGGCCACCAGGCCCACTCCCCGCCTTCCTCCCCAGCCCCCCACCCAAACCCTCCTTTTCTCCAGGGGACACCCCGGAGTCACCTGGCTCTGAACCACTGCCATCCAAGGAGCGGGGCGTCCCAGGGCTGAGCAGATGCAGGGGGGAGGTGGGCAGCTCCCCTGCCTCGCGATCCTCAGTTTCCGGCTCACTTGACTCTTCCAGGTAAGAGCTGCTCTCGCTGCCGGCGCTGCTATTGCAGCTCCGGAAACTGTCGTACCCGCCGAAGAGCTCCAAGTCATCGTCCTCCTCTTCCTCCTGCATTGGTTCGGGGTTCGGGGTCTCCTAGTAGAGGGTGACACAAACGTGTTCGACAGAAGCAATCAGGGCTAGCCTGGGGCCGAGAGCGGGACAGTGGGCCTTTCCAGTTTTTCCCTCTTGGGGTCACGGCTTAGGGATGGACAGAGTGACAAGCAGAACGAAACACCCCTTCAGCAGACACAAGGGTTATTACTTAGACATTTCTCAACTGCCACTCAAGGATAGTTGAACAAGACAGAAAATATGCACCACGGGGCCGAGGAGACAATACACCAGGTCAGGCTCTTGCCTTCAATGCAGCCGACCCTGGTTTGACCCTAGCACCCCACATGACCACCTGAGCCCACAAGGAGTGATCCCCGAACGCAGGGCCAGGAGGAAGCTGGGTGTGGCGCCCCAAACAGATAAGAAAACATGGATTAGTAATTCAGAAGCTCCTGTAGATTGATAAATGATAGTGTTTTAGCATGATTCAAGTAGAATATAATCTTGTGACCCTCAGTGTCTCAGGAGGGCATTTAGGAAAGATGTACATTTGAATGCACACTGATGTACATTTGGGCTGGAGCAATAGCACCACTGGGTAGGGCGTTTGCCTTGCATGTGGCCGGCCTGGGTTCGATTCCACGTCTCTCTCGGAGAGCCCGGCAAGCTACCGAGAGTATCCCGCCCGCACGGCAGAGCCTGGTAAGCTACCCGTGACGTATTCGATATGCCAAAAACAGTAACAAGTCTCACAATGAAGACGTTACTGGTGCCTGCTCAAGCAAATCGATAAACAATGGGAGGACAGTGCTACAGTGCAGAACATTTGAAAGGAGCAGCACAGGGCTGGAACAGAATGCAAGGCACATGTCTGCAGTGCAGCCAACACTGGTTCAATCCCCAGTACCATGCAGGGTTGCCCAAGCACTACAAGGAGTCCTGAACAATCCACTCAAGAATACGGAGCCAGGCATTTTCCCTCAAGGATGACTGGGTGTGGCGACCCCAAACCAAAACAGAGATTGCGACCACCAGAGAGAGAGTTCTGGACGAAGGCCCTTGCCCACCCGGATTTAACCCTAGGTAACACCTATGGTCCCCCAAGCACCATCAAGAGTGATCCCTGAGCACAAACTCAGTAGTGAACCCTGAACACTACTGGTTGTGGCCCCAAACTTCCCCTCCTTTGCTCCCTCCAGAGAAACCGGGGCCAATGTCTCACATACAGTAGCTGCTCAATAAATATCAGACATTATTTCTAGTTAAAAGCAAGGGCTCCGGGCCGGAGAGGAAGAACCGCGCCTGGAAGAGTGGGTAGGGCACTTGCACTGCCTGCTGCCCGCCTCATGCAACGCCCTGAGCATCACCAGGTGTGGCCCCCAGGCCAAGAGAAGGCGTCGCGCCCTGGCTCTGGCGGGATTCATTGATGGATTAGCAGGACTTGGCACAAGCAGCTCCCCGCTCTCACCGCCTGCCCCCTCCCCCCACACCAGGTCCCAGCAGCGGCCACTGACAGCGCTGCAGGGGGGCGGGATGGCGTCACTCCCCGACCCCCAGGTCCTATTTGCGTCTCTGCCTGCCCAGGTGCCACAAAGGAGGCCGAATTCAAAGACCCGGTGCCCAGATGCCAAGCGCCTGCGCGGGTGGGGGTGGGGCGCGTTGCGGCCCTGGTGGGGGGAAATGGGGGAGGGGGGACCCGAACCTGGGGAGCTTTCAGGAAGCGCCTGGCAGCTGCGACCCCTCCCCAACCTCGGCGGCGCCAACCAGGAGGTGCAAAGCAGAATTGAATCCCGGGGGGCTCGCGCGGGCACCCGCAGCCCCCCGCCCTGCCCCCCGCGCGGGACACGCCTCACGACCCCCCGCCGGCGCGACGGGAACCTGTCACCCCGAAACGCCTCGCGGGGTCGCACCCCCACCCCCTGCACCGCCCCCCCGGGGAAGCGAACGGCGACGCCGACCTCCGCCGCCGGGCTCGGTTCCGCTACCTCAGTTTCTCCATCCTTGTCCCTCCCCCCGCCGCCCCCGGGCAGCGCCCGATGGCCCTAGGAAGGGTCGCGCGGGATGAAGAGACGCTCGGGGGCTGCCTCTGCCGCCGCAAGGAGCCGTCTCGCTCTCACCTCCACGCCCTGGGCCTTCTCCATGAGTTCTAGCACAATCTCGCTTCAACCGTCAGCAAGTGGAGGGCGCCATGTTGGCCCCGCCGAGCTGCCAGAGCGCGCTCATTGGCTGCCTGCTGGAAGCGCCGGCCAATCACGTCGGAGGAAAGCGGACGCGCTGGGGCTGTGCCCGCCCCCTCGCCCTCGCTGGGAGACCCGGATGCCGCGGGCGGTTGTGGGACTTGTAGTTCGTGGCAGAGGCGCTCTCCCGGAGGCGTGTGCGGGTGGGCTGGAACTGGTGATTGGTTTAGGCGTAGCCCTAACCCCCAGCCTTTCCCTGTTCACAATCACAAAATCACAAATCATCCTGTTATTCGTGGATTGCCTCGAGCAGGCCCCAGTAACGTCTCTTTCATCCTAGCCCTGAGATTATATTCAAGGCTCTTTAGGAGAATGAGACCCATCATTGTTACTGGTATTTGGCATATTTGGTACGCCACGGGGAGTTTGCCAGACTCTGCCCTGTGGGCAGGCTACATTCGATAGCCTGCAAGTTTGTCCAAAGTAGGAATGAGATAATAAGATGTCATAATAAGATGTTGTGATAAGATGTCACGCAGCCGCAAATGCGGCCACGCGGTTCCGGGAGCTGGTTTTTATAGTCTCTGAGTCTTGGCCGTTGATGGGATTACATGGCACCAGGGGGCCAGGTGGTGGGTGTGACCCCCGCCTACTGGAGTTTGGAGGATCTGGGTGGAGAATGCTCGGCCCCAATCCATGTAGGCTTGGAGATCTCGGCCCCGGAACCCGCGTGGATTTGTCCCTCTGCCAGTACCTTCATGTGTGCGAAGAGTGGTCTCAGCATGGTGGTGGCTGGTCCTGGAGGTCTTTGGCTGCCGGAGCCCTGGTCGGGGCAGGGAGGAAAGCTCAACCCGCTCCCCTCCAAGGGGCCCCTCCAAGGGGTTCTATTTTTTTTAACTTTTTCAATTAAGATAATTTTTTTTTTCATAAAATTCTTCACACTAATTGTTTGGGCTTTTTCTTGTTTTTCTTTTTTTTTGTTGGGGGGGGTCACACCCAGCGATGCACAGGAGTTACTCCTGACTCTGCACTCAGCACTCCTAGTGGTGCTCGGGGGACCATATGGGATACTGGGAATCGAACCCAGGTCAGCGGCATGCAAGGCAAACGCCCTGCCCGCTGTGTTATTGATCCAGCCCCACACACTAATTGTTTACATTCAATATCTCAACCCCAATCCCGCTACCATTGCATCTCCCCACCACCATCACTTTGAATCTTCCCACAACTATTCCAACCTGCCCCTTAGGCAGATGGTAATAATTTACTTTGTATTTCTTGCCATGAATAGCATGAGGTGTCTCTGGGCATGAATGCAGCTGTGCTCTCCTGGAATTCCAAAATTTTCAAATATTTGGGATCCGGAGTGAAGAGCCGAGCCAGTGTATTGATGAGTACTGACGGCAGGTTCTTCAGGTGTTCAGGTCTGACCTTGTCTGGGCCAGGTGCTGTTTGTTTCTTTACCGACGAAATGGCGTGTCGGATTTCGGAAGGGAGAACGTTGGGAACGACATATCCATCCTGTGGAATTTGGTATGTCGGCATGTGGACATGGCTATCGAAGAGATTTGAGTAGAAGTCATGGATAATCTTCTCCATTGCCGTTCTGGAGGCTGTGATGGATCCATCAGGACGTCGGAGGACAGTCATCTTGGTCTTGTAGTTGGCGAAGGACAGGCGGGCGTTACGAATACTTTTCCTGGCTTCTGCTGCATCTACCAGTACTTCTGCTCTTCTCTCTTTGAGGTCTTCCTTGATCGCATCTCTGCACTGCTTTGCGAGCTCGGACGTTAGCTTGCGGTTGCCTGAGGCATGCGCCAAACCACGTTGGCAAATTAACTCAAGAGTTTTCGAAGATAGGCGTTTTTTTGTGGCTATCTCTCTCTTGGCGTTCCTTGCACATTCATGGAGGTGCTGAACCAGTCGATTGTATTCCTCGTCAATGTTGTCAACAATGGCATCTTCCCATGTTGCCGCAATAGTACCAAAGAGTTCCCAGTTGGTGGTCATTCTGGGAGTTCTCTTTTTGAACTTTGCAGCCCTTTCTCCCCGCTCTGTGAAGTAGAATTTTGCACGAAGGAGACGGTGGTCCGATCCCGTTCAAAATTTTGGGACAACAGCGACATCGGTCAGGCAAAACCGTCGATTGAATATGATGTGGTCTATTTCATTGTGGAATCGTCCACTGGGAGACTCCCATGTCCAACGTTTAGATTCTGCCTTCTGGAACTGTGAGTTACCATGGATGGTCTTGGTCGACATGATGAACTCAGACAGTCTCTCACCCTGTTCGTTCCATTCTAGGTCATAGGTCCCGACGTGAAGTTCTTCAGCTGATCTTCTCGGTCCTATCTTGGCACTAAAATCACCCACAATGATCTTGTAGAAGGTGTGGTCTTCTTTATAGAACTTCTCCAGCTCCATGTAGAACTTCTCGATTTCTCTTTCATCATAATGAGATGTTGGTGCGTAGACAACGAAGATAGAAACTGCAGGCAGTGAGCCACATCTATTCAAATGTAAACGTCCGATTCGGGTTGTTAGGCATTCGAATGAATCAATGCTCTTGGCCAAGTTTGTGTTGACAAGGACACCGACGCCTCCAACACCTCTTTTATCACATGTTCCGAGGAACAATTCTTCTCCAGCGTCAAAAACGGCATGGTGAGATTCATGCCTTCTTGTCTCGGTCAGACCAATGATGTCGTACTTGATCATTCGCGCTTGTACCATCAGGTCCTCGATGGATGCATCTGATGCTAGCGTACGTGCATTGAAAGTACAGACGATCATTTTTGTCTTCCTTCGTTGTGGCAGCCTAGGTCGGCCTTGAGATTTTGTCGGCCTCTCCTTTCTCATCCTTCTCAGTGCTGCCATGTCGGTGAAGCCTTCAGGGTCAGGTGAATGAGACCAGTTGTAGTTACTGGTTTTGGCATATGGAATACACAACGGATAGCTTGCCAGGCTCTTCCGTGTGGGCGGAATACTCTCGGTAGCTTGCCAGTCTTTCTGAGAGGGATAGAGGCTTTTGGGGCGACCTCTAATCACCCTCTAATCACTCGCTACCTGTCTGAATGCAAGGTTCCGTCCCAATGGAAAACCAGCAGGACCGTACTACTGTTCAAGAAGGGAGACATCCATGACATTGGCAACTATCGCCCGATCTGCCTATTGTCTGTCATCTACAAGTTGTTCACTCGAGTCATCCTAAATAGGATTGGCAGAACACTAGATGAAGGACAACCACGCGAGCAAGCCGGGTTCCGCAAAGGATTCAGCACCATCGACCACATCCACACGATAACCAAGCTCATTGAGGTTTCTCGGGAGTTCAAGATGCCGCTCTGTTTAACGTTCATTGATTTAAAGAAGGCCTTTGATTCTGTTGAGATGGAAGCGGTCATTGAAGCCCTTGCCAATCAGGGCATTCAAGCCCAATACATCAAGATCCTCCGTGAGCTGTATTGCGGATTCACTACCAGGATCTCACCATTCTACAAAGAAGTGATCGTTGATGTCAAGAGAGGGGTGCGGCAGGGTGATACCATTTCACCGAAACTCTTCAGTGCCACCCTCGAAAACATCATGCGACGACTGGAATGGGAAGGAATGGGAGTGAAGATAGATGGTCGGCAACTACACCACCTCCGCTTTGCTGATGACATTGTTTTAATAACACCAAACATCAGCCAAGCGGCACAAATGCTGGCCGACTTTGACTGTGAGTGTGGAAAGGTAGGACCACAGCTGAATCTTACGAAGACAATGTTTATGAGAAACAGCCTTGTTCCTGACGCCCCATTCGCTCTCAATGGAACGACCATCTCCAAATGCAACAGCTATGTGTACCTAGGTCGAGAGGTCAACATGACAAATGACCTGGCACCCGAGCTGCGCAGGAGGAAGAGAGCGGCTTGGAACGCCTTCAAGAACGTCGAAGAAATAGCTAAGAGGACGAAGAACCTCTGACTCCGGGCACATCTCTTTGATTCCACTGTTCTTCCTGCATTAACATATGCCTCAGAGACCTGGGCCCTACGCAAACAGGATGAGAACGCTATTTGGATCTCCCAAAGAAGAATAGAAAGAGCTATGCTTGGAATATCACGTTTCACTCAAATGAGAGAAAGAATCCGGAGTTCCGACATCCGTCGACAATCAAGAATCAGGGACGCTGTCTCATTTGCCAAGGTGTCGAAAATCAGATGGGCTGGTCACGTAATGAGATTTAAAGACGACCGCTGGACTAGAGCTGTTACTGACTGGATTCCACGGGATGTCAAAAGACCGCGTGGCCGCCCACCTACCAGATGGTCAGACTTCTTTGTCAAGGTCATGAACGATCGGTTTGAGGCTCTTCATGTTCCTAGAGCGAACAGATGCCATTGGGCTACACTAGCACGCGACAGGGACAAATGGAGACATTACTGGCGCCCGCTCGAGCAAATCGACGACTAACAGGAAATTAAATGATAAGTGATAAGTGGGATCTGGAGGCATATCGGTGATGTGCTGCTCTCTTCCAATATTTATTTACGAGTCCCTAAATCATGGCCATTAATTCATTTAAATGACACCCAGAGGCAATTCCTATTCGAGATTGCCAGGAAACTGGGAGGGTGGGGAGATGGGGAAAAGTTGTCCATCCATGACTCCGTGAAACCTGGAGTTTTCAGACACTAGTCCTGCATACATGGGATTTTCAGCGGGTTCATTCTCATGTATGGGGGCATGGGATAAGCCTGTGAAGACTGACCGTTAGCGTGGCAGGGATTAGGTTCTGGAGGTTGTGGCTGTTGGGGTTCATTTGGGGCAGGCGGAGGGGCACACCTGACCCCCTCCGAGGTGTCTGGGTGAAATCAGCCTAGTGCGGGGTAGAGAGATATCTCTGAGGCACGCTGCTCTCCTCCAGAGATTCATTTGTGAGTCTCTGAGTCATGGCCATTAATGCACTTCAAATGGCCTGCTTTTGATCTCTTTTGAGATTTATTTATGGGTCTCTGAAGGAAGGCCAGCAAATGAGCTTGTATAGC